GACCCCTTTTTTGGCTACATCAGTATTTCTTCTGCACCATGTTTCACACAAAGTTGGTCCGATACTGTCCCATGTAGACAGGAGCAAAGGATCCATCATGACAAACCCAGGAATGGTGGCATACGTGTTGTGAGACACATTGTTGGGATGCGCAATCATGTGATTAAGATGGAATCTAACTTCATCGTCACCCCACATTTGGCCCTTGGCTCTCAACAACTCAAGTCGATCTTCCTTGGGAATACAGCTGTGAAAACCACCTGTGGCAAGTGCAACATTGGTCGCAGCTACTGGGTTAGAGCTGGACGAGCAACCAGGTTCATTCATGAAAGGCGCATCTTCTTCATCCCCTGCACCCCAGATCCATGGTCGATGTGCTGCAGGAGAATTCATGAGAAACTGAACATACACGGCTCGAAGCCTGGCATGGACCATGTCAGCTTCATCAACAGTTGTGGGCAACATGGAATCAAAAACAGTGTGATGGAGGAATGCCATCGCCAAGGCTCCACATTTGTCAGATGACAAGAACATCCTGTGCTGTCTCAGCACCGCAACACTGTTGAACCCAAGACGTTGGGCCAACACTTCAACCATGGCATTCAATCGGTCATGAGAATGAGCAGGGGCATCCCATGTGCATAAGTGCAGAACATCACCATTGGGAGTGAGAACAACCGGAATCCAATGCTTGTCAAGCATGCAAGCTGTGAGGATAATTAACCCCTCAGTTTTGACTTCAGCATGGTCACGTGCCCAAGCATGACACCATGTCGATCCATGAGTCGCCCAACCAGTGAAAATCAAAGGATCAATCATCATGTATTTGGCAGCAGGAGCTTTGGGGTCAGCAAATGTACGTGCATGGCAGAGCTGCAAAAGGAGCTCAATTTGGTGACAAAATTCGTCATCCGTCCACAGGTTGCCTTGATTTTGCAAAATCTTCAATCTGTCCTCAATTGAGATCACCTGCTTCTTCAATGCAACAAGGTGCTGATTCACAACAACAGAAGGAACCTTCAAACTGAGGAATTGTTCATTTTGCAGGCCCAAGAGAGGAGCAGCTGAAATCCACGATTCATGCGCCGATATCTTGCAAAAATCTACACTCACGGACTCTGCAGCAGGGCCATGTTGTTCTCTTACAATTGCATGTGAAACATCCTTGGCAGGCAGACAAGTCCAAGGCACAGTCGGGCTGACAACCTGCTTGGGGTCTCCTACATGAGCTTTCCTGGCATCTTCAGCGGGGTTGGACAGTGACACTTCACCACACACCGACATGTCATGGGCAGTTCGGTCAGACAGTGGACACAGGCTGGACTCGACAGACAAGACATCGGCAACCCTTGACACAACCGGCGGATGCTGGAATTCTGTACATCGGATGCAAAGAACCTGACCAGCTTGAAGTACCAGGGAGTGCGGCAAAATCATTCCATGTTGATCGCAAACCTCTTGGATCTGAAAAGGGCCTACCAACTTCTCATGAGCATTCACAAGCTGTTGAAATGTACAGTCATTGGAAACCAACAATCTGATTGGGGCACCCTTTTCATGCATGAAAAGAACCGTACAAAATTCAGCATTCGGAGGAGGCATGTCAATCCCTGAGTTTTCATGTTTCTCAACCCAAGGGGTGGGTTCACATTCCTGGTCTTCATCATCAATGGCAGTCATGGCAACATCCCCCGGCGGGTGAAACGGCACCACCATGGAGCTGGACTGCTGTTGTCGGATGATCAAATCAAGAATAGACGCAATCGACACAACTGGCAAGGCAAGATCAGGCCAACGCTGAGGATGTAACAATTCATGCAGGGACAAGTTGGCTTGGGATTTCCAAAACTGCACAAGAGAGGCCGATCGCCTGTCCACAATGGTTTCATGGTCCACTGGCCAAACCTGACGACCTCTCATGATCAGCCACGTCATGTATGCTTGCAACTGTGCCTCAGCTTTGAACTCCGAATGAATACCCTGCAGAGCCAGGATACGCTCAGCCAAAGTTGCAAAGACCCACGATGCCTGCAATGGGCTTGCCATCTGACCTGCGGCTGCGAGAGTGAGTCTGGGATCATCCCCAAAGTCAATAATTGGGTCATATCCACAAAGCATCATAACTTCATTGGGATGGATGTGTCGAATCAGGCTCTCCTTGGTTTCTGTAGGGCAAGACCTAACCAAGCATCCAAAGAGGCCTTTTTCCCTGAGTCTGTGTTCTGACAACCCTGCCGGACGACATCCACATCTGCATGCATGTAATTGGGATCCCCAGGAATGCAAGGCACAAGGAGCGCAACCCTCAATGTTGAGCATGTATTTGTTTCCAATTTCCTGATCACACCCAAAAGCAGAGAATTCAATCGCAGTCAATGCCAAATCATCTTCATCAGCTGGGTCCCATGGCTGGATATATGGGATCAGGTGCCTGACTTTGGAGACAATACCCATTTTTGGCCAACCATAGAGAGGAATTTTACCCAACATCGGAGATGATAACAACCACCATGCTCGGCTACGACGTGCGGGCCATATGTCCTGAAGGTGAAGGTCATGTTGAGAAATGTGAAAACCAGAAATCTTTTGGAAGTGCTGTATCTCTTGCTCAACAAAGGTGTTGAGGGTAGCTGGCTGGACACATTCCAAAACTACTGCTTGCACTTGGAGATAGTACGCACTGGCTAAGATCCCTCTAAGGCAAAGTGCACGGTCATCCATTCCACCTCTTTCATCTCCGAGCTTGGAGAATGGCTGGCATGCAAACCCTGCGGCTAACACCCCTGCACCTCTGGAAATCTTTTGGACAGCAACAAGTGTTTCAAGTTGATTGACATCACCTACGACCTGGTCAGCCTCACATTGCTTACCGAACAGGTTCATCATTCTGTCATTGAAATCCACCACGGCAACCGAGGTAAAACCTGCAGCAACTAAGCCCTGCGTCATGCCACCAAACCCTGCACACATTTCCACCACTTCATTCATGGATTCCCACGTAGGTCTGTAGTGCTTGAAGACATGTGACTTTTCATCAAGGCAAACCAGAGGCACCGGGAACTGTCTGCGAAATTCTGCGTTCAACAAACTATAGGTATCCCCAGATCCATCAAGTAAACCACAAGCAAGGAAAGACACCCCATCATGATTAGAGGAAAGCCAATGCGCCTCATGAGATGGGTCCCAACACTTCAGCCTAGCCACCAGGTTGATCCTGGAACCAATACCACATTCCCCAAAAGTCACTGGCAATTCCAGTCCCATGGCCACAGAGAAAAGAACGAACCTGCCCTCAATCTGTTGGGAGCAGCCGCACCGGCTGGCAGGTGACTTGGGCAATTACGGCTTCCAAACCACCAACCAGTAATAATAAGTAACTTGACCCACCCCCCATGTCAATTCACATCCCAATGAGCCCAGAGATTGAAAAACTCTCGACTCAGCTTCTCCTATCAGTGAAGATGTTACTCCAAAACTCGGGACCCTGTAAACTAACATCAATGTGGAAAATCATCGTTTTCTATGGGTAAATCATCTGGAAAATCCTCTAGAAATGGGTCATGTTTTCATTCATTTTCCACACCTATGAGATGATCCTCCCATTACTGGGTATACACCCATGATTCCCAGGCTTGATATCCGCAGTTACATAGCTTTGGAAGGCCATATCAAATTGGTAAACCGTGGTAAGCCATGGTAAACCCAATGCCATGGTTACCATCCCATTCACTAAAAAAATCACTGGGTCAGTCATTTTACATTGGGAATGGTTTATAGTTGTAATCCCATAATTATCCATCAACATCCCACTATGATCATCTACCCTCTGGTTATTTAACATAGCCATGGTATAGATAGCCCATTTATAGATGGTTTACCTATTAAAAATTGTGATTTTCCATGGCTATGTTAGTCATAACCAGATGGTATTGTTGTATTCAATCCATTTCTTAGGGGTGTAAGAAGCCAAAAATGGGATGATAACCATGGCGGTTTACCTCATTCCAAGTTTTTGGTACCCAAAGTGTGCGCACCATTGCGTCGCGTCACTTCACCATGAAGCTGGTACTCCCTTCATCGTTTCCCCAGTCGTAGTGGATTTCCCAAGGGAAAAATCAACATCATCTTCAGCGAATCAACGAAAATCAGTCTTAAAAAAAGTAAAACTTAACTGCTTGGTGGTTTCAACCATCTTGAAAAATATGAGTTCGTCAATGGGAAGGATGACATCCCATATATGAAATGGAAAATAAAACGTGTTTGAAACCACCAACCAGTATTAGTGATCATATAAACGGATGTCAATACTATTGAAAAAATCTAAAATGGCTAAAATATGCAGATTGGGCAAGTCAAGTTTCAACCCATTACAAAAACAAAAAACACATTGAAACCATCAGTAGATATTGGCCAGCTGCTCTGAACATTTAGGGGAAACCCCCAAATTTGACGGTTACAAACTATTTAGATAACGAGATCAATGGATAAATGACGTTGTCTGAACACTTGGGGGAAAACCACCCAAACTTTCATTGTGCAAACATGGGTTATGGACAATTCCATTCTGAATCCCATTTCTATCTCCATCATAATTCTATGTAATTCCATTCATAATCTCCATTATTGGTGGTTTCCCCATGTTACAATGGTCCTATTATAATCTCTTTATTATCACAATCCCCATGTCTAATGCCATATTCATCTCCGTGAATTTCCATGGTTTGTTTAACTTATTCAAATTTTAGTATACTGTAGGAATCCCCATATACATCCACAACACACTGTGTAAATCACCAGAAAAAAACTGTGTAAATCTCCCATCCCATATAAAAATCTCCGTATAAGATCTGGTTATGACTAACATAGCGAACTGGAAAAATCACCATTTTTCATAGGTAAATCATCAAAGAACATCTATTTCTATGGGCCATGGCTTCCATGTTAGTCATAACCGGTATCTAAAACCCTCAGTTTCAGCCAATGGATCCATGGTCTCTCACCTCCTCTGCCCCGATGGTTTCCAACACGGGCAACTGGCCGTTGGCCAAAAGAGCACCTGAGATTTGGTATCAAAACCAGTCAAAATCCCAGCATTTATATATATAGTATATTATTGCCACATATCATATATAACATATTGGTGGATGAACTAGTTCTGATATATCTTTATATATTATTTATTTATTATCATTTTTATAATGGATGAAGATCTATCTACCACCAATTTGAAAAAGTTCACCAAAGGTATCGGCGGAAAAAAGGGGTTTTGACCTTCTTTTCACATGTGGTTCTTCCTGACTTTCAAGGTGATTTTTGTATGGTACTAGATATATGGGTTTTTCCTGATCTTAAAAGGCACATGTTTTTGTTCCTACCAACCGAATCTTCGACAGGGAAATCTCAAGTGGAATTCTCGGTGGGCCCAAGATGGGGAACGTAAGAAAGCTAAGTAAGCTATGAAACATCGTGCGTTTTGAAGATGAAACATCCCTAAGAATCTCCAATTTGATGGTGTATTCTACCGGGAACTTCGGGTTCTCGGACTCCCTGAGATGTTATCCATGGATATCCATGGTGCGAGACCTTTCCAACTGACAGAAGTGATGATTTTCCAGGTCGAAAGGATGTCAACAAACTCAGAAAAGTTAGAAACCTGGGAATGTTACACGTGATCTATTCATGTTTAACGTCCTGCAAAAAACGGACGTATCCATCGTTTTGGGCGCTCCTATAACCATCTGCAATCTGAACCTAGCAAGTAACATGAGGCATAACCTGTGGCTTGCAACGTCCAAGGTGTAGGTACTCCTAAGATTCCAGTCTCCTGAAATCATCTGCACTACTTGTCCGAACATGGCATGGCCGTGAATGAATATGGTTCAACCATGTTAAACCTACATTAATCATATATTACATGACTTAAAATAAATGCAATCATCTACTATGACCCATCGGCACAATATAACATAGTGATGATATATAATGCATGAAAATTCTAATTTCATATATATACGGTGGATGGAAGAAATCTTACACCACCTTGGATGGTTGAACCCCTACAAGTAATGGGATTTTCACAACCGTTTTCAACCGGTGAGTCGGATTTCTTCTTCCATCCACAGTATAGTCCGTTACGGCCGAGTAAAAAATCCTCTGCGGGCCGAGACTCTGAAGCGATTGGTCTTGGGTTCGTTCTGCTTCTTTTTCTTCACCTGACTGCAGCTCCCTAGGTGAAGAATAGGATTCCCAGTGGGATGACATACCCATATTAGATTCACCATGGTGCTGGAATATTTAATGTCAACCCTGGATATTTTTGTTACATAGCCATGGAAAATCACCATTTTTAATAGGGATATCCCAGAAAATCATCTATATCCATATATAATAATGTCAACCCTGGATTAATGTCAACCCCGTTTAGGCCTGTTTAATTGGGGGGGTACCATAAAAAAGTATTGGATGAAATGACTATTGGAGGAGTACCCCCCTACTTAATAAACCATGGTTTAGTCTCATCCGGGGTTGACATTTCCTACATTTACCCCATTTTGATGGCCCAGTTTTGGTTCGCGAAATCTACAACAGCACCATGGTCTTCGCGACTATTAATGGGATATGAAGGGTAGATGTTCAATGGATTGATGGGGAAAACCATGGAAAGTCACCATGTTTAATAGGTAAACCATCTATTTCAATGGGCTATCTATACCATGGCTATGTTAGTCATAACCAGAGGAGTTAAAGAAAATGGTTTCAATGATTAAGCATTTAATTATTCCCAGCTATTCATTTAATTATTCTCAATTACAACCCCATCTCATTCTAACTAACCCCATTTTTACCAGTTTCATATGGGGAAGTCGAGGGGATGACAACTCGTCAGTTGGGAGGAAAAAATCAGGAACACGGCTGCGTCCACGTTTTTGACGCAGGAAACAACACGGCTGTGTTGGTCGTTTATGTGACGTGTGTATGCTTTAGTAGGATCTAAACCATTCTATTATGTGATTGGGAAATTTCCAATAGCTCCTTGGCTTCAAATGTTCAAGGTTATTTTGGCAAAATGCTTAAAAAGGGGTTCCTTAGAACGGGCATTTCCGTCCGATGGACCAACGATTTCGCTACTATAAAAAATCCTCCCACATGGATGTATATTATTGCGTGACAGCTGGAGCACGGACTGATCGCACCCTTGGTTTCTATCCTCAGCGCATTGCCTATTCGGCTAGTACCCCTTGAGCCATGGCATGCGGCCATGATGGAATGGAGTCTGACCAAGAATGGTGATGCACTCTTCGCACCGACTATACTTTATGTTGGTCAGACTCAAAAGATAAAATGCACCTCATATTGAGATGTTCGTTCAATGAGCTTTCTTTGAAGAGCTGATCCTTCTTCTAAAATCGCCCACTGGCCTGTGCGGATCACGTGGCGAAGCAAGTCTGACTTGGACTCCTTAGTGAGAGGGTCGGCCAACATGGTTCTACCATCGATCCATCGGATCTTGCCGTTGAGCTCGTTGATCTCCTGCTTGATCAGGGAGATATCGATGGAAGTTCGCTTGTCGCCACATTGAGAGGCTGGATTGGTGTATTTACTCACCGCATCGTAGAGAGACTTGGAGTCTGTAATGCAAATGAAGGGAAGTCTGGATACTTCACGATGCCATTCACGAGCAGAAAGTTGAAGTCCCCGAGCTTCAAGTATCAGGATCCGATACCAATGAACAGATCCAAGGCCACGTACTAATGCCTGAGTCTCGGAGCTCAAGGTGTTTACTGTCTGTCGTTTGAGACGATAGCTCTTCCACGCAGCAATGGAGACATTCTGCAAATTCTGCGACTCAGGGAGCGCCTGGTCATAGAAGATGACGATCTCTCCGCCCTGGCTGTAGAGCTTGTTCAGCTGGTCGTAACCGGCATGAATCTCCTTGGAGTCCAACACCTTGTTATCTTCCTGCTTGAAGAAAGTTGTGGTGCCAGTCCAGGTAGATGTTGATAATGGCTTCAAACTGTCGCTGGTGTTCCAGGCGTCATCAAGACGGTGACTTCTGTTGTCAATCGTCATCTCTGTGATACGCTGGGTTGTGATATCATGGAGGTCTGGCCCGTCAGGACATGCTGCTGGATGGAAAGCCAAACGTCGCGCAGCACGATGGTGGCGAATCCAACACTGGGAGGTTTCTTCCCACCAATCTCCAGAATCTTGCTCTAAGTAGTTGCCGAACTCCTTGGAATTGCCCCACGATGCATCTGTGATCACGCCAGCTCGAAGTCGTTCAAGAGGTATTGGCATCACTCGTATGCCGAGATCCTTGTGCTCCAACGCTTCCTTGGCAAGCTGGTTGGCTGTGACAATATCTCTAACTAACGGCTTTGGAAATGCTTGTTGTAGAAGAGCAGTCTTACCAGCTAAATCACATCTTGTCTCCTTAGAAAGCCAAGAAAGAGTACCAACCAGTGCTCGTAGTTGTTCAACTTCATCAGGATTGCAAACTGAAAATTTTCGACGTTTTCTATCGCGACTCAGGGGAATAACAGTAACCTTGGATTCAGTGTAGAATTGTTGATCAAGTTGAATAGAACCACCTTCTCGTTGATGAATATCCTTGCCTACAAATCTTCCAGATTGCCATGTAAACTTCCCCAGTTTGTACCGACTGCGAATGATTTCCATCTTGCTAAGATGACGAGTTGAACCACCATGAAATAAATCGTCGGTCGCTAATGCCAGAATACCTTCAATATGCGATTGTCCATTCTCATCCAGTGGTGAATCCAAAAAGAATAAACAGGGATCTACAACAGACTGTCGATATTGAAGTTCATCGCATAGGAATCGAACGATGTGTTTGAACCATTGATATGGGCCATCAGTGAGTCCATAGCAAGTCTTGAGGAGTTTGATCAGCTGCGTCTTGCTCACCCCTGGAAGACCTTCTACTGGTTGTTCCGCATACAGTTCACGATCAATGGGATCGCCTGAATGAAAAGCCTGAGTAAAATCTGCAAAACCTGGTGTCCAACCCATACTTGACATGATCTGAGCCACAAAAATCACTGAGTCTCGGTGCACTTGAGGAGTGCTTGTCTCCAGTTCCAGCAAGGCTGACTCAGAGTAGCCCTGCATCACATGGCGACATTTCGCCTTGCATGGTTGTCCTGGTGGAGATGAGTCTAATACCTCATCAGCGGACATTGCATCCTCAACGGCAAAATCCTCAATGGGCTTCTTTGTCAGCACATAGCGGGACTTCATGATCTTGTCCGGGGCATTCTTCCGGATCAAAGCTGAAGTTACTGGATCCAAAATTTCATAGGCTCCAGTAGCCAAGTTGTTGTTGAGCTCCTTGTGGATCGCCCTTTGTAAACGTTCAGCATCTCTTCCAGAAAAATCTCGGAAGGTAGATTCTTTTCCCTTCTTCTGACGTTGTGCTGATTTGTTTGCTAGCTCTGTGTAGTACATGTTGAGGAGGTCTAGTCTGCTTCGCTTTGACACAGGGATGGCTTCCCAGGCGGAATCTGTCTGGCTAACATCATCGTGATCTCGTTTTCGATCTCCTTCAACTGAAGGCGGTATAGGCACATCTTCTGGCTTGATGCTCTCCTGGACGATCAAACCATCCTCATCATTTCCGATGTTTTCCTCAGGCAGAGGGGATTCAGGATAGACCGAAAGGTCAGAATTCTTGCCGTCCTCAGTCAATGGAGTTGGAGGTTCAAGGCCAGGAGGTGCTCCCACTGGCGGCACCTCGACCTTCTCAGGCGAGGGTTCCACTTCACTAGGTCTGGTTTTCTGTCTCAAACGTCGCGGAAGTGGATCTGGTTGAGCTTCTCTTTTGAAAAGTTGTGTGGATGGCTGGCTGCCATCACTCATTTCAAACCACGTCTCGCCAGTCCATAGTTCTCCATGGAGTGGAACGTTGGCTCCAAGGTTCCAACGGTCCTCCAAAATCTCTTCAGTGCCACTCTCTAGGGTCATACAAGACTTCCTCCATGGTTTCAACTGCTGAGTGAAAAATGGTAGTTCCATATCATCGTCAGGTTGATAAAGTTCTTTTCGGGGCTGGACATGAACTCGAATCCAAAAATCTCCTTCTTGGCGCCAGTAATCTCGATCTCCATCTGGAACAGGAGCATCTTGATCTTTGGACAAGTCGATGATGCCCTTGACATTCTCGGTCTCAAACTGGCGCTTGGCGTTGGAGATACCTTCAAGCCAACCTGACAATGACAGGAATTCCTCTTCTGCAGCTGGTCGAATCTTTTCTGGTGAAGCCTTGATGAGGTGGTGGTTGAATGACAACCAAACTGTGGTAGGCAGTTGGGTGGCCACCACACGTGCTGGTCCATGCCAGAAATACGTAGGTGGTTTTCGAGCAGTGTCTGTGCTTCGTCTCCAGAAGTAGACTGCTTGGCCCGTCTCATAGTCATAATGAGGTCGAGGGCCATGAGTAGCAGCAGCTCTGACTGCCTGTTGACATTCTACCTCATGGAAGGCCACAGATGCCGCCTTCCGGATATTCATGGCCTTGGCCACCGTAGTGTCACCAATGGCAGCAAGGCTTTGCACTGCTAAATCAGATTCACCTCCTGACATCAGTCCACCTGGAATTCGTTGTTGATACCCAAAAACCCTTTGCGCCGGTGAAAAGCCACCTCTGGAAAGCAATCGGTTCTTGGTGAAGCAGACAAGGTCGATCGTCTGAAACCAAGTAGGCCAGTCAGTGCATTGGATCTGCTCCATGGTCTTGTAGAACATCTCCTTGTAAAGTTGACCCTGACGTTCGACAAGGCCTCTCTGTTCGGGCGTCTCCAAGGATGAAGGCAGAAGCTCAGTTCCATCTGACTCAGCCAGGTTCTCAAACTCCTTCTGGAACTCACGACCTAAGTCGCACAGCAATTTTCGTGGCGGCCCAAAGATCTTCAGCCACAGTCGATAACCAGCTCGGGTTTCATGAGCTGTATGTCCAGTCAAAGGGATCACCAATTGAAAGTGGCTACCATAGTCTACCACGTTTAAGCAGTACTTGGTCTTGTTTGAAAAGGGGACCCTGAGCTGGAAGGTGTCAATGCCAACTACTTCATTCAAGCCAATCTCCCTTGGAGGTGCTCCCACACGAGATGGTCGTGGAAGCTTGAACTTTTCACAAACTGAGCATTTGAGGTTCTTGGCAATGTCCATGACCTTTTGGCTGGCTTTACTGTTCTTCAAAATTCGTAAGAACCGATCCCGCCCAGGATGTCCAAGACCATCATGAGCCCTTCTCACCAAAGCTTCTAAGGAGAGAGGATGACTGCCAGGAAAATGTTCTGGTTCTGGTTTGTCTGGTTGTTCAGGGTCGATCTCCTCATCACCAGCAAGGGACTCTGCCTGTACTGCATGAATCTCAGAAGGATCATCGAGACATACACAAGGATGTCGTGGTTCTTTATGACCAGCTCGTGGAGCTCGATCAGGGTCAGGATCGACTGACAAAAGTAGATTCTGCTCCAGGTGCTGTTCCCATTCCAGAGTCTTCTGGCCATCGACAATGTAGAGCAGATCTGAGGAGATACCTATCGAATTGGCAAAGGCAATCAAAATCGCTGACACCAGCTTGATGGGGTACTTCTGGGCCAGTCGTGAGCGATTGATTGATGCCCCACGGTCGCGTCCCATGACGTGTTGGTGGGTGTGCGATTGATCACAGGTCTGATTCAATTGTTGTGCAATCTGAAAATTATTGGTAAGAAAACCAGAACGTTTTCTCATAGGTTCACCATCATTTGTCACCAAACCAAACATGCACTGGTCTCCACGAGCTAAATGACAATCGATGGCTGAAACAAGTTGTTGCAAGCATGGTTCATTCCATGAGCTGGCCGACCATGGATGTTCAAATAAGAAACTCAAGCCCAGTGATCTGCAAAGTTGACAAACTTTCACACAAAATTTCAACAGTTTCTTGGCATCTCGAAGTTCTCGAATATGTTGATCAAACCTTTCGGGGTTTTCAGTCCATTTAGGAAGTGATAAGTTGAGCAGCATGCTGAACTTGACACATGGTGGCGAGATCACTGTGAGTCCAGGTCGTTCAGTTCGAATATAATTCAAAACTTTCTCTTGTTCAGATGATTGAAGTAAATTCCAACCTAGTTCCAAATCAAATGCTTGTCCCGCTCGAAGTCCATAAAAATCTGTTTGGGGTCCAAATCGACCTGGGTTGCAAACTTCCGCAACAGTCTTCAATTGTTTTGGCTGCAAAAGATATAGATCCGCCATATGTTTCATATGTGGCTGTTGTAATTGAAGCGATTCACGAATCAACTTGCAAGTGCTTTCAAGATGGTTCTCAGAAGTTTCACAAATCAACCTGTGTAACTCCAACCAGGAGGTCTCAGCACGCTTCAAACAGCCAAAAATGTGTCGCCGCAACCCCGGCTTCACTGGCTCAGCTTCCGTCTCCATCACATGAACAGGCCGTGTCGACTTGACACTCCACGGGAACCGATGCTCTGGTTCTCCATCTGTTGCTGTTGGGCCTGACGCCACAGCAAAAACTCCTGGAACTCCTTGTTCTCCTGCTTCAACTTGTTCTGGCCTTCGGTGGAACTCTGAGAGAGCGGTGTCGTTGGAGCCTTGCGGTTCTGACGTTCTTGTTGAACCATGAGCCCCAGTGGAGTCTTCTCGTCGACCAGCAACTTGCCGCAGTCCATGCATTTCTCCTTGCTCTTGAGTCCATTGGTGCCTCGGCGATCTCGCCTCGTATGTGGGCAAATCTCCTGCTGTCTCTTGGTGAAGTACTCGATGTTGGAGTTCTGGTTCAAGTCTCCTCGAAGTGGTTGAAAGGTCAGCCACTGGAAGAAACTGCACTGCTGGGATCGTTCCCTGCCGCATCGCCAAAACAGGCGGTCTGGGTTGCTCTCCGTCTTCGAAATCCAAAGTAGGGCTCCTTGTTGGCAGTGACATAGAGGTGCCTCTCGATTCACATCCAAGTTCTGTGGGATCTCCCACATGTTGGCACGGCGTTGGTCTGGTTCCTCCGTTGTCGGCCTCGAAGTTGATGACCTTGGTGTCGTTGGTGCCGGTCGATTCGATGGAGACTTCCTGAGATGAAAGTCCTTGGTCGAAGTCACTCGAGACCATTCCGTTGGCGTTGGAGACCGTGAGTAATTCTCGGCCAACGACTTCTGGTGAAGAGCTTGGCTCAATTGGTCCACCACCTGCTCCAGGTGGACAGTCTCCAGCAAGTCCCCCATCTCGATCATCTGCCTGGCAAGAACTCCTCTTGGCCCAGGAATTTGAAGATGGTGTTGAACTCGATGTTGAATTGCCCGGCTGATGATCATGATGGCCTTCAAAGTCATTCGGACCCAAGCCTGAGTCACCGCCGGGGGCATGTCGCCATCGCTGCGACCCCGCTTCTGCCGCGGACCATGCATCAGAGCAGTTGGAACGTGGGGCTGCTCCCAGGGCTGGAGACTTCCGTGATCCACCTTCTGAGCCACTAGATTGCGTTGTGCTAGACATAGATCGGTGGTTGATCTTCTCGGTCATGGTCTGCATCAATTCATATTCATCTCGCTTTTTGGAAACCTTTGTGCTCAAAAATTTCTTCATTGAATCTGTAAATTGTTGAATAGGAATTCGCAATGCACCTGTAGGTCCCAAATGACATGATACCTTGAATCCAAATCGCTGTGAAACCAAGCTCAACCCTTTGTCCTCATCCAAATGAAGAATGGCTCGGCAATGTAATAAAAAAGGTAATGAAAGTAAAAATGGAGCATCAGCACAATGTTCTTCCTCAAAAAGTGCCGGTCGAAGAATACTTCCACGCACTCCCAAACTACATGGAATACATGCCAATTGTGTGGTGCATGAGACCTTGTGAACGCTTCTGAACTGATGGACTTCATCGCAAAATGTGATGGGAAGTTCAGGAGGTTGAAAATTCATCAATTTATTCAATGTGTTAAGACCAATAGCCATACGTTGACACCCAGTATCAATAGTTGCACAACCATCATCTTCAATCATTGTTGTCATGTGAAAACACTGAATAGCCGCCGGACACGCCATGTATGCTCGATCAGATTGCGAAAAGTCATGGCAGTCATGGACAGATTCCTTGCTGCCAGCTGCTACATCATCTTCTAAATAGAAAAACTCGCTCTCAGCAAAACTGCTTTGGTCCTGCATAAGGAAGTTCACCTCCTTGGACTTTGGCTTGAAAGAATCAGTCTTGGGCTTGGGGCACTCACGGGCCCAGTGGCCCACGGCCCCGCACGCATTGCATTTGGTTCTTTTCTTCAGCTCTGAGATGGACACCTCATAGGTTCCTGGTTTCATCAATCCATCTCGTCCTGCTCCATAGCCACGAGCAAGATCACGATTCTTCTTGGCCTTCAGGGCACCAGCATAGTTCCGACCACGATGCTTGGCATCCTTCAGCATCGTCATCAGGATGTCCTTCGTCTCGGACTCAGTCAGGGTGACCATATCGTCCGTGCTGTTGTTCTTGGGCTCCTCCAAGTCTGCCATGGTGGTGAGCAGGATGTCCGTCTGGTCATTCTCCATCATATCGTCCTCGTCGTCAAGGTCCACGAGCTGGATCTCCTTGGTGTCCTCAGGGTCCTCCAGGTAGTTCACTGAGGCCTTCTTGCGATCGCTGCCCAAGTGGTTCATGTCCAAGTCAGTCTCATGAACTCGGAGCCAACTTTTCACATCGGCCACCTGCAAGGAACCCTTCGTGTAGTTGAGCAAGAGCTTGGTCTTCTCAGAGTCCAGCTGGAGGGCATTCACCATGAGGAAGCCAAGGTATTCTTGAGGAAGTCGTACATCGTGTTCTCGGATTTTTCGTTCTGCCGTGTCCCAACGAGTCATAAAGGCTCTGGCCGTTTCACCTCGTTGACGTCTCAAGTGATATGTCAACCTAGCACATGCTGCTAACATTGACTCACGTTTTTCTTCCCCATAGAATTCTTTGGAATCCATCATAGTGATCAGTTTGTTGCCATTGTCAGGATCTGCCATCCATTCATCGTCATTTGCTAAAAACTTCAAATCTTCCCATGGACCCTTGGTAAGACTTTTGAGTAGGAGTGGTCCCCGAGCATGGGCCGGAGTCCTGGTAGTTCTCAGCCAGATTCTGGCCTTGATCTTGTAGTCCTTGAACTCGGTGCTAACCCCATCCCACTCTGGTGGCGGTCCCGCCGTCGTCCTCTCATGTTCGTCCCTGGCAAAATGCCATAGACCTTGTCCCGCAGCACCTGCGCCTCCATGTTGATGTCCCATGCCATAGGTCTGGTTCGGCTGGGCTTGACGCCACTGAAGAAATTGAAGAAACTCCTCCTCCAGCACTGGCGCTCGGACTGGCACCTCGCGCCTACGCCCATCAGCCCAGGGATCGTTCCCAGATCTTGCCCATGGATCACCACTCGAAGCATCGGATGCAGCCCTAGGTGTCGGGTCTGACCGACCAGGCTGAGGCTCTTCTGAAGAACCCTCGTTCGGCACAGGTACGGTTGCCATAGCAGCACTATCCGAAAAAGAAACACCCCTGGATCGTAGCCTGGCTCCGCTGCCACTGCGTGACAGCTGGAGCACGGACTGATCGCACCCTTGGTTTCTATCCTCAGCGCATTGCCTATTCGGCTAGTACCCCTTGAGCCATGGCATGCGGCCATGATGGAATGGAGTCTGACCAAGAATGGTGATGCACTCTTCGCAATTATAAAGTGAACCAAAAAAATTGGGGAGTGTTATTTTTTGGGGGTCTACCATATTATACCAATATTTACCACATTTCTCTTATTACCAATATAATTGGGGTTTACCCATATTTACCACATGACTCTTCCTAACCAGAACTGTTGACTGATGTCCAAACAAGATTGGAGATGGGCAGTCCAAGTTCCCTCCCAGTTCGGAGGGTGACCGATACCCGAAGAACATACGGAGGGACCATCGGACCATCCAATCGCGCTGGGCTGAATTCACCGAAATTTCAGGTCACTTTGGGCGAGATATGAAGTCTGTAGTTATACATAAATTCCATTCCATTCCATTCCATTACATTACATCACATTACATACATATATATATATACTGTATATGACACAGTATATAAATATAAATTTAAAAAAAAAAACTGGGAATCAAACGTGGCAGTGGAACAGTCTCTACAAAGGGATCGATGTTTTTTATGGGAAAAATCATCCATCAATGGTGGGATTTTCCAGCAATTCCTGCAGGTATCGTGCCTTATCTTTCTTCAGGGCCGCCTTCCGGAGGCGTTTCACTTTCCTTGGCGAAGCGGGAAGCAAGTTGTGGCTGATTTTCAGGGACCACTATGGTATTTAACGCTATATGTATAATATATATATATATATTAATATATATATATATATTAATATTAATATTAATATTAATATTAATATTAATATTAATATTAATATTTATTTATATATATAAATATGTATATGTATAAGTTAGAACTTAGAACATGAGCCTCACAAAATCACTTCGTCTTGCAGGTCATGGCCCCTTTTCCTCCAAAACAACAATTCTAGGTCTCAGAAAATGACCAAACACGATGATGCTGAGACAATGTCTGACTGTTTGGTTGGCGAGTTGGACTTGGATTCCGAAGGTAAACATGCCCACATGTCTCATGATGATGGTCCGTTTTTTTTGGAATTCTCTAGGCTTAGATGATGGTATTGGAAATGAGAATCCCTTTCATAGAGGTTGCCAGATCCAAAACCATCAGCAACCCTTTGGAAGGTACCTCAACAACTGGGAAAATAGTCCAAGCGCTTTATACTTTTTACCGATCCTGCAATTCGTGGGAGGCTTCTCTACTATGCCCTTGTTGAATCCCCATATTCGTTGGAAATACACATCACCTTTGGTGTTCAATGAGTTCAATGTTCCCATTCTAATTGGTTCGAACATCGCGAATCTTGCTTCGTTCAATGAACAATTTTAGCTGATTTCCACAAATACATAAGCTGATGAATACACTTACATCGCGCATCAACATTGGTAAAAGTTAACCAACCAACCCACGCGCCCACCGCTCACGATTCACTTTCAATCGAAAATTTGCCCATTTGACCCTCGTGTTGATGCCAGCTCAATGCTTTACCCTCCGGTAATCCAGTATGGTGTGGAAAATCCCCCAAATACAGTTACCCTCTGGTTATGACTAACATAGCCATGGAAAATCACCATGTTTAATAGGTAAACCATCGAACCAAATGGGCCAGCTATACCATGGCTATGTTAGTCATAACCAGAGGTTACAGTTCACTGATTTGAAAATTTTCGCAGCTATGCCCAGCGCTGTGGCCGCCAGGGATCCAAGTTGGAACTGCCTCCATATGCGAATCGGAGCCTCCCGTTCGAATGGAGCTGGAAGGATAGGGAAGGACTGGGAAATGGGACAACATAGAGATTTTTGAACCAAACAAAATTTCTACCAAAAATGGGAATGTAACATGATCTAAGCAAGAAATCAAAACAATTGATATCATGGTAATGCTGTGTGCCACCCCTTCTTGCACCCCCCCTCAGACTGCTTGGTGGCACCAAAAATTATTAGCAGGTTGTTAAAGTTTTCTGTTCCAAATTGGAGGCGCGCAATGGAGACACAGCGCACAAATAGTCACAGGCATGTGTTGGTTTTATATATACCCCCAAACATACCATTGGTGGGGTTGGGGCGGTTGGGGTTTCACATGTTGTATTGTAGACACATTTCTGAAAAACACCAAAGCGGCCTCTACAAAACCACAAACGAGCATTTGAACAGGGTACCTGGGGCATCCGGCGCTACTAAATGCGAATCATGGAAATCAACCCGCTATATGTAGGCATAAAAAACGTGGTTCAAATCAATGATCCTGCAAGAATCATCCCAGGAAAAACTGTTTTTTTGTGGAGACACCTCTGTTTGGAGCCTAAAAACCGACAAAACAACAATTGGATTTTGTAGAGGCTCCCCTACTTCCCCGTAATGGCGAAGCGGCAAACCCGGCAACCGAAGACCCCAGCGATGCTTGGGGCCCAAAAGCGGCAAACAAAGGATTGAAAAAGGGATCCCCGTTCGGGGTTTAAAGATTAAAAAAAGGCAAGCGAATGCTTAAAAGAGGGATCTTAGTGGGGGTTGGTGCCAAACAACGGGAAACAAAGACTTAAAATTGGTCTGAGTGGGGGGTTGGGGAAAAAAAACGCTAATGTAGACTAAAAAAGGGACCCAGTGGAGTTAAGGCTTAGGGCGCGGCTATCTATCTATCTATATATATATGTTTAAGAAGTGTCTGTCAAGCAAGGTTTTGCCTGTGGCGGCAACCTGTGTTGTCGGACCCTAATGCCAATGGAGCATGTATGCAAGACACTTGGGTACCCTACTGGGTTGAAAGTGAAACCTGCTCTGGCGCCTGAAAATGAGTAACTAATGAGTAACTAATGAGTAGCTAATGAGTATCTGGGCGCTGGATTGGTGCATCTGTCTCGTGCTTTCATGAGTTCGACTCTGCATCTGTGCAGCTCTCTCCACGCATCTGTCTGCATCTCTAGCTCTGTCCATGTCTTCTGTCCTTTCAGAATCCTTTCGGAATTCTTTCCATATCTACTCTTTTTTGGTGATTTTTGCATCTTTTTCCGTGGCCTTTAACCACGACATGGTATCATGGGTCCACAGTGAACCGATGAGGGTCACAATGACGTTCCCATGTTTAGATATTAGGGATATATCATGATATATCTCATTTTTCATGAACAGTAACTCTACCAATCAGTTTTGAGATTTGGGATACCCTCTGGTAATTTAACGTAGCTATTGAAAATGGCCATTTATAGTGAGTTTACCCATTAAAAATGGTGATTTTCCATACTGTAGCTATGTCAGTTTACCAGAGGGTAATCTATTGCTCCATGTTTTTTTCGGCGGGTGACTTTATTATCCCAACTCCCCAACTCCGCCTGTGCGACAGCCGTCCGGCAGGAGATTGCCATGTCCTTTGAAGGTCAGGATGTCGTTGTTGAAGTAGCCTCAACGCAAAGCTGTAACAACGAACGTCGTTTCGGCTTCAACAAACTAGAAGAAAATGGTGGAAAACACCATTTTTTGGAAAATTTTGGAAAACCCAGGTCTTGTCCTCCAGTTAAACGGAATGTTTGTTGGTTTTGTTATGTCTTGTTGACATCTGGTGGGTCAAAATAGGGCGAATGAGCCAAGAATGCTCGCCCAAATCTGTCTCACCTGAAAAGTCAGGAAAACTAAGCCAGCTGAGGAGCTGTAGTGACCACATGACCATTTCAATCCCATATTTTTTTTCATGTGGTCATATACCAATAATACCAATGATATAGACTGATATAGATACAATATATCTAGGTATAAATACCTGTATATAACCATTAACCATGAACCATGTATCTAGGTATATATACCTACCATTGATCTGTAGCTATTATATATACTATATCTATAAAATTCTATCACCATTAACCATTATTTCTAGGTTCCCGTCTCAATGGACCTGGTTGCTTCGGCTTTGTTTGTAAATTGTCTTCATGACGCAAATATCCAAGGTCGTCCACCGGTGTGACAACCAGGGTCTAGTGGTAAGTGCTTCACCATTTTTGTGACTCATAAATCAGCAAAAACTCAGGAAGTTTTCATGTACATTCATGTACAGTCTTAGATAAGATAATCAGAATTCCCCAAGTACGAAAAAAGGAATGTTCCCTCAAGTACACTCCGAGTCACGCATTGCCATCAGTTGGAACACATAGCCTTGGCAGTGCGAGGTGCACCATGAACACTGGCCATTTCAGGTACATTTCCGTAGGTACCTATCATTTGCAAGGTGTAAGGGGGATATAGCCCCAAAAGATTGTTTTATTGGGTATAATCCCTCCATTTTCGGTTCCTAAAAAATTCTCATTGAATCCCAGTGACACTCAATATACATGAAAAATCACTACAAATACCATTTTTCATTGGTTGTTAATACAGGGGAGTACCTTGTACCTGGGGTACCTGGTACATGGTTTCGGGATGATCATTCCCTCATTCCATGGGAATTCCCAAAAACCTACCCAGTGATGGGGCCCGGGGTCGTTCATCTCCAAGACTTGCGGCGATGAAAACGGCTTTGATCTTCCAAGCCCTGTGAAAATCTCACCAGGTTTTTCACGAAAATTGCCTCAAGTTGGGACCTCAAATTGATGAATTTACAAGGAAAATTCACCGGGATGACCTCCGATAGTTGGATAGTTGGATGTGTAGCTGCAGTCGCTACTTGATAAATTCGCTCGAGTTAGGCACATCATCGGGTGACTGTCACTGTAAATATATTGTACCCACATTTATTTGAGTGTCAATCATGAACTGCCTAAAAAATCATTCCCCACACAACAAAAAATGCCATGTGGTATCCGGTATCCCTCATTTACATTCATTGGTCCAGATCATTTTCCATTGTATCTCCATAATATCATTATCCATTATCCATGAGATTTCCACATATATCTCCAGAATCTCATCGATGATTATACCACATGGTTTTGGAGTTTGAGATTTTCGCTACCTTTGGTCTGGTGAACTGTGGTCTATCAAAGGTGGAGCTTGTTGGGATTCTATGAGTGGTTTACTGGGGTTTAACGATAAGAACTTCTAATTTGATGGATGATTCATGAGATGTTTGGTTGGGACTCAATGGGCTATTCATGGGGATATGGCTTGGAACTAACTAAGGATTTTATAGGGATTCAATAGGAATAGAACCATATAAGCATCAACAATAGGAACTTGACTGACTCAACCATGGGAAAATTGGATGATGCTTACTGCTTACTTCCTTCCCCATTCATATTAAATACCCCCTAGAAACCATATGAAACCATAGGGAAGTTACACTTCAGGACCACAACATGGGGGTGTTTCTATGGGGAGATGGTATGAAATGTGGCATTTCCCGCAACACGGAAATGTCAGGTTTTCCGGCTTCCCTTTCTGGGCTCCCGAGAGAAATGTCATGCCATGGCTTTTCTCACACGATCTCGTCTTGCGAAGCTCTGGAGGCGGGATTTAAGGCCAGGTGCTGTGCAAGCCGTTGAAGCAAGCCGTTGAAAATCCCTGCAAAGTGCTTCAAACGTTTTAAGTTTGGCACTGCAAATGCCAATTTTCTATGACGATCATGATATAGATATATAACCATCAACAATAGGAATCGACTTCAGTGGCTGAACTGACTTAACTATCCAAAATGGGGATGTTGAGCAATCCCATCTTCCGTTCATATTAAACACCCCTCAGAAAGCATATTGGTTAAGTAAAGTAGGGGATGTATACTTATTTGGCACCATAAAATGGGGGTGTTAAAAAAATAATTGGGGGACGGGATGAAATGTGGCATCTCACGCTACCACTACCGGCTTCGGTGGAGCAGATTTTTTTTCGGCTGTGTCTGAAATTAGGAACCCCAAAGCCATTCAAATCCCATGTCTCATGATATTTTTTCGGATTGAAAAGGCCAATTTGGGGTATCCCCCCAGTTTTGACAAACCCAGAATTCGACGAATCATGGGGGGCCAGGGGTGTCAATGGGGTACCTCACCTGGAAAAAATGACCAATGATTTGAATAATTTGAATGATTTGAATGGGTGCCCCATTTTGGGAAACGTCCATGTACCTGAGTTGTATCCCAATGTTCTCATAAGTTTTATGGCCATTTCTTGGTTATATATGGTTATTAATTATATATATATAATATATAATTATTGTGATTCGAATATAAACCACAATATCCCAAAAATATTTCTGGTGAGACACCCTTGCTCTTCCATTCAAGTCCACTACAGGTAGACGAGCTGACCCTGGACCGCTGTGCTGTCGCCACCACACCAGGGATTACCCCATGTCACCAGGTTTCCATCCCTCAAAATCGCAGCAAAAGCCCACCAATTTGCATGGAGCTGCTGAACGTTGCAAAGCCGATGCCGAACAGCTTGGTACGTAAAATCAAATTCATCTGCCACTGCTTTCACTGTGCCATCAGCCAAAATTGCAGCAAAAGAGGAGCCCGTGGAGCAAACCGTTTGGAAATTCTGCTGGTTTTCAAATCTCATTGCCTTCCAAGAACTTGAGGCATGGCCCCAAGAAACGACTGCTGTATCACCAAAGGTTGCAGCCAAAACATAACGTGAGGCACAAACCTGTTCACCGTTCCTGAGCTGCTTGGGGAGTCGCTTGAACTTGGCCAACGGCTCGTCAGCAATAAAGTGTTGAGAACCCCATGCAACCACTTCGTCATCAGCCAAAATTGCAACAAAAGCCTCCGATGTAGCATGGATCTCCCGAACGTTCTGGAGCTTAGCCCGCACTCTGGTGCAGTCACCACCATATGCTCTGTCGCCCCATGTCACCACACTTTCATCTGACAATATCGCAGCAAAAGCACTGTCTGTGGCATAGATCCGCTGAACGTTCCTGAGCTGATCCTGAACTCCGGTGCTCTCACCACCACTCTCTGGATCACCCCATGTCACTACGGTTCCATCTGCCAAAATTGCAGCAAAGGCATTGTCTGTGGCATGGATATACTTGACATGTTGGAGCTGGCCCTTGACAGCTGTGATGTCGCCACCAGACCCTGGATCACCCCATGTCACTACGCTTCCATCTGCCAGAATGGCAGCAAAAGCCCACCAAGTAGCATGAAGCTTGCGAACATTCCGCAGCTGACCTCTTACTGGACTGCAGTCACCACCATACTCGGGATCGCCCCATGTAATCACAGAGCCATCAGCCAACATCGCAGCAAACGCTGAACCTGTGGCACAAACCTGCTGAATGTTCTTTAGCTGATTCTGGACGGCGTTGCTGTCACCACCTGTGTCTGGATCACCCCAGGTGAGAACCCGATATCCTCCCACACACCAGACTGCAAAGGCTGATTTGGTTGCAGCTACTTTTGGCTGCTGGGCAACAGCAGCAATGCAATCTCCATCTTCCAACCCGGCAGCTTGGAGAGATTCCCATGGATTTAGGAGGCATCCATCTGCCGTCAGCGTCAGGAAGGGTTGCCCCAGGGCCTCTTGTGCAGCCACTTTCAGGTCACACACCGTGCCACTGCTGGCGACCCAGACATCTTCACAGCGTCCACTTGGCAGGGACACCTGGGAAGGCAAAAGAATCTCATAGCAAATCCTCCAAATTGATATAAATTGAATTGAGTGCCCCAAATTCTCCGAACAAATCCATCTGTTGTTGGTTCAAAATCTTCAAACCCCCATTTTAAGCGGTGGTTTTTGATTCACAATCGCTGCAAGCCCATCCAGTCGCCAGGCCTGGAACTTCACATTCCCCGTGACCAGCGCAGGGTCCTGCCTTCGCCGTTTTTCAGGCTCCATGGGATCAACCGCTTGCGGAAGACAGCCGCGGAAGCCACACCAGTTTTGCTCGTCGTCAATTTTGGACCAGGGATTCTGTGGCGATTTGGAAATATGGCCATGGCATCATCCATATCCCCATGGTTCATTTCATCCCAAACGGTTGGCTAGCTTACCCCTGAGGAGGGAATTAAAAAAACATAAAACCATGGAAATTACTGTTCCCAAGCAACATGAAACATCAAATAGATAACTCCTAAACGTGTTAAGCCATTCATTGAAATCATGCACTCAAACTAGTTCCGGCATGTTGGTTATGATCCAAAACAAATGCAGGAAATTAAGACATATGTAAATCATATATAGATCCAATTGATGGTTCCATCAAACAAACAAACCAAAAAACAAATTGATACAATACACCCTCGGGTAATCAATGCTTGCTGGGAAATCCTCCAGTTTTTTTCGATGATTGTCCTAATCGAAATTGCCCATTTACAGAGGATTTCCCATTGCCATATCCCCCATCAAATGGATAAAAATTCCAAGTCTCTGATTCTAAGTCTCAAAAAAAAAACATTGCGAATCTTTGACATCTGCCCCCCAAAAAAAAGCTGGTGAATGTACAGTTTACCATAGCAAGAAATTAAAGTACCAATCCAACCAGTCGGGTCACCCATCTATATGGTTCCATCTATAATCAACTATAATCATCCATCTATAATCATTAATTGTAATTAACTATAATCATATATAGTCATCCATTTATAATCATGTTGGATATAAATTTTAATCCCTCGATCGAATAATTGATTATACATGGATCATTATCCCATCAAGATCTACCAATCAGATCCTCTCATCATTCCAATCAAAAACTCCCATGAAATATGTGTTCCATCAATAATATCTATAACATCTATATGTTTCCATAGTGAAACTTGATAAATGACTATAGAATACTATAGATGGTTACAGTTCCGAAAATGGGGGTACCCCCAAATCATCCATTCTAATAGGATTGTCCATTATAAACCCTCCATTTCGGGGATCAACCCCCATATATTCCCATCATAATCCTGGGTAAATTATGATATTTCACTAATCTGAATAGTTCAGCCATTTGAGGATGATTTCCCCATTGTTTCCGCTACAATTCCCATCATTCCAGGGCTCGAACAGTGAGGTCGTTACATAATTTACCCCTTCCCAAAATCACCAAGTACCAAGAAAAATACCATAGATGATTTCCTCATCCATTTTTGGGTACCCCCATGCCCCCATTTTAGGAACCCCCTGTAGCCTATATGTATTCCCATCTGGTTGGTGGTTGAGCCCTACCCCTCTGAAAAACGATGGACTTCGTCAGTTGGGATCATTTAAAAAAAACAACTGAACGGAAAGTCATAATATCCATTCATGTTCCAAAGCACCTAAACCAGAATATATTGGATATAGTTATACTATAGTTATACTATAGTTATACTATAGTTATACTATAGTTATACTATAGTTATACTATAGTTATACTATAGTTATACTATAGTTATACTATAGTTATACTATAGTTATAGTATAGTTATACTATAGTTATACTATAGTTATACTATAGTTATACTATAGTTATACTATAGTTATACTATAGTTATACTATAGTTATACTATAGTTATACTATAGTTATACTATAGTTATACTATAGTTATACTATAGTTATACTATAGTTATATATATATCCCATGATAACCATAGTTTAATATATACCACCAACCAGCAAACCACCTCAACCAGCCATCATCCCATCATCCCCTTGTCTCCAAGCCACTCAAGGCCGCCAAGGGCACCACAGCCCAGAACGTAGCGTCGCTGAAGGAGCCTGGCCGGCGGCTCGAGCACACGAAGGTTGGGATTTCATGGCTTTCTATGGGGATTTCTGTGCAATTTCTATGGGATTTCTGTGGAATTTCTTGGGTTTAATTGGTTTTCTATGGAATTTAGTGGGATTTCTATGGGGTTTAATGAGATTCCTATGGGGGTTCATGCGATTTCTATGGGATTTCATGGGATTTCTATGGGCTGTTGTGGGATTCTATAATGTAAACCCTATGCCGAAAATATATCTGAAACTGTTGATCCATAGTGATCCGTGCAAGTAGGTAGAATATGGATGTGTCCAACATACTCCCGTTTTTTGAGGATGTTTTGAAATGTCCGTATTCTATCTACTCCAGGATGATTATGGATTAATAGATATATTATATATATGTGTGTGTATGTAGCTTCATATTTATACAGCTTTCTATCTTGAATTACCCAGGGTCAACGCCTTGGGCCTCTGATGATCAGATACTGATATACAACAAAAACATCCAAAAACAGGTTTAGCTTCCACGGGGAAGATGTTGTAAGATGTTGTAAGCCTTTCTGAGGCTCATACTGTCATACTTCTCATGGCCCAATCTGTAGCTCAGAATGTGGTTCCGTTGTTTCGCATTCCTTGTGGATCCTTATCATCCCTCTTGAGGGATGTATATTGCCGATATTAACAACCGATCATCCATCTTTTCTTGGTCGAAATCCGATTTTGATGGTTTGACCTCTAGGGAATATACTACTATTATAAAGGTCAATCATCCCTATCAGCCCTATCAGTCCCGTTTTGTGTCTAAATATCTTTGGTGAACTCCCCATTTCGGTGAGTGAACTTACCATGTTTCAATGTTTGATCATTACTGGTTGGTGGTTGACCTACCCCTCTGAAAAATGATGGAGTTCGTCAGTTGGGGTTACGACATTCCCAATATATATATATGCAAAGTCATAATCCAGTCATGTTCCAAACCACCAACCAGATCACCATAATATTCCCATAGTTGTTGGTTTATAGTTTATAGCCTATTAACCACTATTAACCATCACATAATCCAGTCATGTTCCAGTCACCACCAACCAGATCAGGTGAAATCCTCCCCATGTTGCCATGAAATCCATCCTCCATCCATCATCCTCCCACATCGCACGTGTCGCACGTCACACGTCGCCTTTGCCGCTCACCGGCACGTCCAAGTTGGCATTGTCCTCAACAGTTGGCTTCTTGGCGGTTCATCCCACGGCTCGTAAGTGGGGTTTCCCAAAACGGACGAACCATACTATACCATACTGTCCTGACTGGGGTTGTAACATGTTATAACCTACTTAGCAAGTGGGATGAGCCACCAAGTCGTGAGGAAAATGTTGACAAAATGGTTGGAGAATCACACAAAAGTCTCATAAATTCGCTGGTTTTGGGCTGGATTGTAGCTAAATTTCTACATCAACAGTTCTCCTTTCATGGTTTTACCCAAATCCAGATCCACATGTATGTTTGGTGGATCTGAATAAACTATGATAAACTATGTCATAATCCCCTCCCCCAGAACCCATGGTAGGAACTAGGGAAATTACATATTTGGAGGGTGGGATGATTGCATCATATTGCACCAACCTGATGGTCAATGGATTGGTTTTGTTGGGAAAATCGAAACTGGTATTTTCATGGTATTTTCATGGTCAATCTTTGACAGTCCATACTATCCATACAAGAAAATTGTCGTCGGTTGCTGGTTTTGTTGTGATGTTCCATTGAAATTGCAAAAAAACTCAAGGATAGTCCACTATTCATCCAGTTGGTCGAAAATGTTGTTACCTCCAAACAGAGCTGACCGCGTTCGTGTTCAAGGCCCAGTTTCGTAGAGGTTGGAAGCGTTCGCAAAGGCAGTGCCAAGGCAATGTCCTCGGGCAACCAAATGTGGTGCCAGTCCCCTGGAAAAGCATGGCAAAATGGGAAGTTCGTCACAAAAAATCGTTAAAAAAATGGAACTTGATCCAACAAATGACAAACGAATTGGAATTTGATCCAATGATTTTTCACAAATTCGACGTTGATCAAAAAAATTGCCAAAAACTGGGCTTTGATCCAATAGAATGATGATTTATATAAGCTACCAAAACTTTGGGGATTTCACCAGGGAAAGTCGTGAGGATTTGACACATGCAAACTTTTTCACAGCTATTCGATGGTGAGTTGAAGCGCCAAAATCAACATGTAACTGGTTCAAAATGGATCCTATAGGCATTCATCATCAATTATACACATTATATGTTGGTATCCATATTATATCTTGGTATCAATCCTAGGCACATTCAATTATACAAATCAGATATGAAAAGCTATGGGTTTTATGCACAGAAAATATCTTGGTATATCTTGGTATATCCCACGAGGTTGCTAAATCCCCAGAATCGTCCAGTAAAAATATGGTGATTTTTTCCAGGGCCATGTTTCACTACACAAAAAATATCTTCTGGTCATTGAAAAATGGGGCAGCCATGATTTCGAAAAAAACACTTCTGGCCACACAAAACTCACGCACCGGATTTTGAACTGGTTGGTTTCCAGCTCCCCGCTCCTAGCTTCGTTCCAGGTAATCCATAGTTTCCAGGTGTCCGGCATCCCAAAAGGGGGGTTGCTATATCCCATTAATGATGATATTATATCCCATTTAAATCATATCAAATCCCTAAAAAGTACCATTAAATGACCATTACCCTGTGTTAATCAAACGTTGCAATGGAAAATCGGTTGATTTTCCACTTGATACATGTTACAACCTCTATTTATAGTGGGGGGGATGTCCAATTGCTTTGTTTTGTTATGTATGAATTACATCAAATAACCACCTCCAGAAAGCTCAACATCTTTTGGTGAATGCCGCCCAAGTGACCCACCCATGGGCTGAAGGCCGAAGCAAAAGAGGCTAAGGTCAGGCAGATGTAGCCTCGCTTCAGTCATTCAAGATGGTTTTAAGATGTTTTAAGTACAGTTTATGGCCCAGCTAACAGTTAAATGGAATTATAACTCCTATAACTAGGAGTTATATATATCATTGTATATAACCCATTTATAACTGCTAGTTGGGCCATAACTGTAGGATGTTTCATGATTTCTACCCTCGAAACAGTTTGCCAACTGGAAGCCATGGCCATTTAGTTCGATGTGTTACCCCTTAAAACGGTCATTGTCCATAGCTATGTAACAAATTACCAGAGGGTATGTGTAGATGGTATATTGTGTATATATATATACAATAATATAATATACAATAATATACAATAATATACAATAATATACAATAATATACAATAATATACAATAATATACAATAATATACAATAATATACAATAATATACAATAATGTACAATAATGTACAATAATGTACAATAATGTACAATAATACACAATAATACACAATAATACACAATAATATACAATAATATACAATAATATACAATAATATACAATATCTGTATATGGTATATATATATATACACAATAATATACAATAATATACAATGTGTGTATATGGTATATTGTATATATATATACAATAATATACAATCATATACAATCATATACAATCATATACAATCATATACAATCATATACAATCATATACAATCATATATTAGATGGTTTCTAAGTAGCTTAACTGGCTTGATTTATAACTAGATGAACTGTTGGGTAAACAGGATTACACCTTCGAGGTTTTGGGTTAAAAGGCCAAGCCTGTGAAGTTCCACAAAAAGATACAAGGCGGGCCTGATAGTTAGGTGACTTAGTCTATAACTTGGCCAACTAGCATTAATGGTGGATACATCCATATACATAATATATATATAATTCCATATATACTTAGATGGGCATTTGGCACTGTCATTCTCTTTCCAAACGTCAGGAAAAGATCCCAACACACCAGCCGACCATAAACGTCAACAAAAACCACGAGAGGTTTGCCCTAAGTGCTCCTCAACCCTCAAAACTTCACATCGCGTTGTGGTCTATGGGTTCATTTGTCAAAGCACATGGTTCACTAACCGGATTGCCGAGCATTTGAAACAACTTCTGTGTGTTTTTTCAGTGCCTTACCCGAAACAAGCACGTCTCTGACCGTGGTGGTTGATGTTTGTAGCCGAGGCACAGCCCTTCAAGGCGTACCACTTGTTGCCTGGGCAGAGGGAGGGGCTTAACCACCAAAGTTATGGGGATTGCATACACTGCTGGCTTTATGGCCACATACACATATCCATATATAAACATCAGTATCTCTAAATATAACTCTATATATAACTCTATATATATATATAAGATGAACTCCGTTTGGTGGTCCTGAATCCCCTGTTTCTTTGGACTTTCGTCTCAAGTTCAGCTGGCTGAAGTCCCAGTATTTTCCCTACCGTAAAAAACAGGTAAAAACTCCCAACAGCCCAGTTGCAAGGGGGTAAATTCACTGAAGAATGAGTAGTATACCTACCCCTCTGAAAAATATGAAAGTCAGTTGGGATGATGACATTCCCAATTTATGGAAAAATCATCCAGTCATGTTCCAGTCACCACCAACCAGGCCATTGTTTATCCATAATTGGTTGGAGCCCTGTGACTGTTTTTTAAATTTTATCCCCTCCACCCGAAACCCTCCACCCGAAAGCCGCCTAGGATGGTCATGATGGAGGACCAGACTGCAGCACCATGTGCCACGTCCACACAGACGGAGAGCAACACGGCGACCACGAAGATGCGAGAGCCTGGAACCAACTTCAGCGGCTTCTGGTGGATTTCTTCTCCAAGTTGTGGTTTATTGGACTTAGAATTGTTTATTGGACTTAGAATGGTTCACTAGACTATTTGACTTAGAATATCTTAGAATTATTGCTAGTTATATCCATTTCTGTTTGATTTTGATGATGTATTATGATTTATTTTCGTAGAATTAGAATTCTTAAATGATGGATACAACATTTCCATCTGATGGGTGATACTACCAGCGATTTCAATTGGGAGATGGGGATGGATCAAAACCTTGTACCCCTGTAGTTCACATCAAAATAGCTGGGATTTATGGATGGTCATCCCCAAAAAATTGTTGTTTGTAGGTATTGATCCATCATAGCCATATATAAATGGATATAACATGAGATAGACTGATCCCTTCTGCAGAAAATTGGATATGTGTAAATTTTAGGTATAAATGGGGCAATCATTGGGATGTAAAACCATGGTTGTCAAGCAAATTGATGCAAATCGATTAAACCCAAGAACCACATTCAGCGACAAAATGAGATTTATCTGAATTTACCCTCTGGTAAACTAACATAACTATGGAAAATCACCATTTTTCATGGGTAAATCCACTATCATTGACCATTTTCAATGGCTATTTTGACATAACCAGAGGGTATCCTCACCAGAAAAATCCACCAGAAACGAGGTGGGATTCAACCGACGATATTTGGGGTGTCGGTAAAGTCGGATAGAAATTGGGTTGAAAAGATTTCCGGCAGGAAACATGTTGCTGGTAATAAATACATAATTCGAAAAGTGTTGGGGTGATTTTATTCCAACAATATAAAAATGTAATTTGAATATCCAGTTACTAAATAAGACTTCCAACTATCGACTCTTGACATTTCTTGACTTAGGAATTCCCCCCCGGATTCCACCGATCAAACGCCGAGGAGCGGAAGTGCAGATTTCCCAAGTCCCACAGAGCCAGCCTCAGCAACGACTTGGCGTTTGAATCTTGGGACTTGACTTGTGGTTACATCATCATCATCATCATCATCATCATCATCATCATCATCCCTCTCTCAGGGCCTTCTTCGACAAAAAAAAATTGGATCCCAAAGCACCGATGGTTAAAAATCATCCGAATTGGAAGAACAGCTGGTGATAATCAGTCAATAGAATGCTGGAACTACCCTCTGGTAAACTAACAGTTTGCTATTGAAAATGGCCCAGTCGAAATAGTGGATTTACCCATTAATAATGGTGATTTTCCATAGCTTTGTTGGTTTACCAGAGGGTAAGGGAAGACTCGCCACAATTTCATGGACTTCATGGGCGGTTCAATCACCGTGTCACCATGTCATTTTTGCCCATGATTATCCCAGGATCATCCCCCCTATAATCCACCATGTGTGCTATTTTTGTTGCTTGTTAAATCCCAATTTACTCCATTTTTGGTTGGTTAGATCCCAACTTGTCCTCCATATATTTTTGGGGGTGGTTAAATCCACCATTATCCACCATTTTGGTTGGTAACATCATCTGTTAAATCCCAACTGTTCCTCCATATTTTTGGGGTTCGTTATATAATTCCTTATAAATCCACCATTTTCTGAAGGATTGCAAAAAAAAATGGTTGGGATTTTCTGAAAATATCATCCACCATTTCCTTTGGGGGTTGCAAAAATACCGTTGTTGCTGAAAAATCTGCTTCACCACCAGGCCACGCGCGCAGCAGTGACCCCGGTGGTAGGAGGCAGGTGAAGTCGCGCATGGCCCATGGACCCCATCGGTTCCTGGACACGGAAGACATCTCCAGCCGAAATCAGGGGGACTTCACCACTTGGTGGTTCATCCCACGGCTCGTAAGTGAGTTATAACCCCAATCAAAAAAGTGGATTAACCCGCTCCTTATCCCATGTAAATCACTGGGGTTATAACCCATTTACGAGCCGTGGGATGAGCCACCAAGCAGGCCACTCTCTGGGGCGAGTTACCCTCTGGTAATGACTGACAGTTTGCGAACTGGAAAATGGCCATTGAAATAGTGGATTTTCCCAGCTAGAAAATGGTGGATCTTTCCAGTTCGTTATGTAAACGTTTACCAGAGGGTAAGGTGGGTTTCTTTGGGTTCTCACTTACTATGGGATGGATGGATGATGGTAGATATATCGAACTAGTTCACCCCAGTTCACCGCGAAAAAAATTGGTGATTTGGGTTGGGATTTGATGGTAGCAGCAACTTTCCAACGATTTGAACGGGGCCCAGTTTCGGAATCGCCAAGTTGGTTTTACGGTAGGTGTATCGAACGAGTAGATGGGGTGACCCCCTACTCTCTAAGCCATGGGATATACCCTGGAGGATGGTCCCACGAAACCATGGGATACAGCAACTCGGCAGGAACGAACCAGGCTTTCCTAACCCATATAAACTATATATTTCCTCCTAGGAGTTGGGTTGAGTCCGATGAAAATTCATGGGTTTTCGGGTCAAATTCTATGTGTTCCTGTGTGTGTTTCCGGTATTTTCCTGGATATTTTCCCATATGTTCCATGATGTGTCCCTATGTCTTTCCATATTTTTCCACATGTTCATGATGTTTCCCTTGGGTTTCCCCATATTTTTCCCACATGTTCATGGTTTTTCCCTAGGTTTCCCCATATTCTTCTTGGTTTCATCCGCGCGTTGAAAAGCCACGCTGCATCTTCGCGAGCAGCGCGAAGATGGCCGTCAGCATCACCGGGGCCATGAAGCCGGTCTGCAGTGATTCCAGTGATGGGACCATACATGGGTATATAATTATAGACAATATCAATATATATATATATACTTGGTGGCTCATCCCACTTAGTAAGTGGGTTATAACCCCAGTTATAAATGGGATAAGTAGGGTTAATCCACTTATAATTGGGGTTATAACTCACTTACTAAGTGGGATGAACCACCAAGTATATATATATATATGTTGGTAGGGAGCAACCAATGGATCTCCTGATCCCGTCCCAGATGAGGTCTCCTGACCCAGAACGCACGGAGGTATCATGTAGTATATATCATATATGTGTGTATTATATATATATGTGTGTGTGTATTCTATATGTATGTATGTGTGTATTATATATAATGTATGTATCATATATGTGTGTAATGTTTTTCTTTATGAAAACAGTTGATCTGATTGATATGATTGATGTAGCTATATATTATATGGGTATATGATTGATAGGTTGATGTATAATGATATATATATATTAATATGTGGGATCAGCTAATCATAAAGAGGGATTTCATCTCTGAAAAACGACCATTATGATATCATTCATTACGTAAAGGATCAGAAACATTATATATAAACTGTATATACATATAGACATACATAATGACATATTACATGTACCAGGGACAAAACATGGTAATTTTATTTTTTTGTCGGCCCTCCTTCCATTACCGGGAGTCCGAAATTAATGGGTAACTAACCCGTGCTTTGACCGTAGCACATAGGATGGAATCTGATAGTATAAAGTAATAATGACCCATGTAATGGGATTCTAGCTAATATGTAAATGGTCCCATAAATTAGCTCATATCTAATGGGATTAGATAGACATATCCCATGCTATCATATCATGATTATATCTATAATATCTCATATATAGATAGATAATATATCATATTTATCATATCATGATCATATCCCATAATATATCATATATAGATAATAGATACCCATCAAATCCCCTTTTTTTGTGCCATGGTCAAGTTAATCTGGGATAGATCAGCATCAACTTTATACGATGTTCTGCTACAATACCTGGGATTCAAGCTCCTTCAAAGTTGGACATCTCTTTTGCAAAGCTCAACATATCTCAAACATGGTACTTATTCTGCACGTCTATATATATATATCCCTATATGTAAATCGACATTAAATACCTGACGGATTTCTTCATGAGAAGCACCTGATAGTTCCTCCCAAAATATCTGAGCAGCGTTCAAAACCCTCTAGTCATTCCATTATATATACTGGCTGGTTAAGAATGGGATTCCCCGTTCGTGGATTATGATTTTTCCCATCATAATCCCCGAACTAATCATCAACCATGATTTATTCAACTTTATCCCAACTATATCTCCATCTTTTCATGATTAAAATACATTACAGTAAAACATATTACAGTAAAACATATTAAAACCATCTTTTTTCCCCACTTTTCTCACCTCACACTGCACCGCAACCCACATCTCCCACTGCCCACCAGCAATGCGAAGCCGGCGATTTCTCCAGGCTCGAAGCCATTCAGCGTCCACCAGAGGGTGTAGGTTTGACTGGGATAAGCTGAGAGCCTGGGAGCAAACTGCGTAGAGCGAACTGCGCTCTAAAGCGCCGGCTGGGTTCTGGGTGACTGTTGGAGGTAGGCTTAGAGTTGGTTGGATGTTGTTGTTGTTGATGATGATAATGATCATCATCATCATCATCATGAAAAAACATCTCGTAGATTTGTCCAGCAAGCCATGGAGCTGATGACACCAGAGGGTTATTTAAAAGTCCATCAGCGACTTCTCTAACCGTTGAGCGCATGGATCCCAGTGATCCAAGTCTCAGTCGGGGGAGAAAAACGTCGCCAACGGAAAAAGCGGCCCAGCAACATGTTCAGGAACTCTGCAAAGACCAGCAAGATGAATGATTTGTGAGTCATTCCTTCCTGAGCAAAATCAGGAAGGAGAAATCAAATCACCCCAGTTTGGTTGGGTTTTTTGGTTTTTTTGCCCCATTAAAATCAGATCAAGTCCATATGAAATCATATCAAAACCATGACTACCCTCTGGTAAACGTTCACATAACTATGGAAAGATCCACCACGTTTAATGGGAACATCCACGAACTAAATGGTAAACTAACATAATAATGGAAAGATCCACCACGTTTAATGGGAACATCCACTATTTCAATGGCCATTTTCAATAGCTATGTTAGTCATTACCATATACCCTCTGGTAAACATACGAATAACTATGGAAAATCACCATTTTATAGCTGGGTAAATCCACTATAAATGGCCATTTTCAATAGCTATTTTGACATAACCAGGCCGGGTCATATGAAATTCAAAAAGTCCATCGACTCCACCGAAAATGGGGCGCCCAAATCTTCCCACTTTCCGAAGCCCTCAGACGACCCAGCATCCAGAATTCCAGTGGACGGCAACACGTACGACCTCGTGTTCGGGGCGCAGTATAAAAAGGCTGGGGATAACGTGGGTTGAAACTAACCCCCTTATGATCTAAACGGGGATATCCCATTTTTTGGACTGGGGTATTATATAGATTAATATAGTATAACATGTTTATATATATATATATGTGTGTGTGTGTGTGTATCCACTTGTAAATGGAAGCCCACTTGCAAGTATCAATACCAATAGCAATGGAGGGTGCAACACTTGGGGGTATGATGTGCGCCTGCAGTCTCAAATGCTCCCCACCAAAACAAGGACAATCAGCAGCCGAAGGCGGTGCTTCAATGAATCAAATATATTCAAATATGCTAAAATCTTTAGCCTTGATTTCCAGCGGACAGGTGTAACCAATTATTTTGCAACTAGATTGAATTTTCTACCAATTTGAAAATCTGATCTACCAAGTATGTTTCAAATGGACATCTACCAATTGGAAACTCTGATTTTCTGTCAAAGGGACCAAGTATTTTGCTGACCGATTTCCGATGTATGGATGTGAACAACCTGAAACACTGCCTTGCAGCGGCCTTGACATAGATTGTGAAACTTGGAAACCTGCAAACTATTGCTGGTTGGTGGTATACCAACCCCTCTGAAAAATGATGGAGTTCGTCAGTTGGGATGAAGAAATTCCCAACTGAATGGAAAGTCATAATCCAAATGTCCTAAACCACCAACCAGATTAAGTACTGTTCTATTTGAAAGTTCCCGCAAGGTTCTTTTTGGGAGAAAAGTGATTCTCAGCCGTTTTGATTTTGGTGATTCAATTTACGGCCTGTAATCCCTATACTGTGTCTTATGATCAACTATATTTCAATCGACCTCCAATGCGGAAAATGCAAAAGGGCCCCCAAGTGCTAAGTTGGTTTACAATCCAGTCCAACAGTCCAACTATATAGATAGATATACCCTCTGGTAATTTAACATAGCTATTGAAAATGGTCATTTATAGTTGATTCACCTATCAAAAATTGGGATTTTCCATAGCTACGCAAACGTTTACCAAAGGGTATCCACCATAAATCCAATCATTTCCCTACTTAGATAAACCGACCTACCCTCAGGTGTCATCAAACATGGCGTGAATAGTTCGAGGATTTTCTCAGCAAACTAAACCTCCAGTTAGTTTGGGAATTTTCCAGCCGGCCACGTTTGATGACACCGGAGGGTGTCATATCCCATCATTATCCCATTGTATTCTCATGAATCATCCATGAAGATTCCATAAAACATCCCACAGATTGCCATTCATACATGATGTTCTTAAAACTCATCATCTATGAACTATGAATTCATGAATAATCCATGAAAATGTTGATAGCTATGAACTATTCTGAACTACTAACTATTAATATGAATATTGCCATGAATAATCCATGAATATCCATTAATTCACACTAATCCCATGATATTGCCACGTTTGGGGCTCCCTTCCCGTGCCAAGGGACGCATAGCACTGGGGCGCCTTGAACAACAGCACGGTGGTGCCCAGGGAAACCACTAAGACCAGGTTGCGGTTGATGAACTCCAAACCTGGAATATGGATGAGTCTGGGATATAACTTGAGGCTTTTCCTACAGGATGGGGCCCCAGTTCGTTAGCTAAGTTGCCTTATAAATGGCGAAAAAAATATGGATTATGGCAGATATAACAAACTAGTTAATGGGGGTTATAATGGTTTATAAACCAACTTATAAGTGGGGCCCCAGTTCGTTAGCTAAGTTGGTGCAAATAACTATAAAAGGCTAGGATTTATGATGGATATATCGAACTAGTTAGATGGGGTTATCAACCAACTTATAGCTAGAGGGGTCCTTCCTGTATGGTTTCTGGACCATTTATGGTCCATATAACTATATATATATACATATATGGTCCAATTATGGATGATTGACCTATGATTGCCCTATGTTTCCCAAGATCCAACCAACCAGCTTTTCCAGTTCCGAATCGCTACTGGTAACTGCAAAGTTCAGGTTCGGTGAATTCCATGGTATTTATGGTAGATTAATATATCTTCAGATTCTGTGGGTTTAAGCAACACACATAACTTGGGCACCACCTTGTGGAAGTGTGTCATCTCTGGGGATGTCAAGTAGATATGGACTTCGAATGGCTACATCATCGGAAAATAGAGTAAAGATGTTATAAAATGATACATGAAATAATATATCCATTGAATTTTTTGCCGATGAAAATATACCAAAAAACATGTTTCAATGACATTTGTCATGGAAAAAAAAAACATTGGGATTCTCCAAAAAGTCACCAACTACACCAGGATTCAGGGTCTTTTTTAGTGGCTTTGTGAAAGATCCAAGAACTCCACTTTAATATTAGGTGAGCCTTATAAACTCAGGATACCCGGCCTGGTAAACTACCATAGCTATGGAAAATGGATGATTTATAGTTGATTTACCCATAAAATATGGTGATTTACATCCAATAACTATGTTATAACTCCAATAGACCTTGGTTATATATAGTTATTGGAGTTATAAACTAACTAGTCAGTGAGGTTATTTACCATAGACAATATATATATATATAATAACTGGTTGGTGGTATACCTACCCTCTGAAAAATATGAAAGTCGGTTGGGATTATTCTTCCCAATATATGGAAAAATAAAAAATGTTCCAAGCCGCCAACCAGTAAGGATACATCTACCATACATCTTGGTTACTTTATACAGAAACTCCAATAAGTAAGGTTTATGGCTGGTAGATATATCGAATTCATTCATGGGCCTTATAAACCGGCAAAAAATCTCTGGGGGGCCTTAAGTCCAATTGCCTATCACTTCAGAAGCACTACATATTATTTATGAAATGTCCACTACAGATTACTCCCCAGGAATTTGACATAGAACCCCATTTCATATCCATTTAAAGTAAGAACCTCATCCTCCAAAGTCACCGTTTGATGGTTTTCTCTCAGTTTTCAGGTGAGAGGTGGTCACACCTGGTGATATACCCTCTGGTAAAGTAACATAACTATGGAAAGTCACCATTTTTAATGGGTAAATCCACTATATATGGCCATTTTCAATAGCTATGTTAAATTACCAGGGGTATCCTGTTTTCGGTTTCATTGTCCATTCCTTGGTCATGTCTCCGCCATGCTTGTGATGAGGTGTCCCCAGTGAATAGCTGCTCGCTTTTGGCCTGAAAATTGCTGGCTCTATCCTTGATTATATGGCAGTGTGTCAAAACCTTGTACCCCTGGTGAACATCAAAATAGCTGGTAAATGGATGTTCATTCCCCTAAAGATGGTCTTAATGGGTATTGATCCATACCAACATCTTCTTGGAATCAAACGTGGCAATGGAAAATCACCTATAAATGGAGCTCCAAGTGGGAAAATCATCTGTAGCTGGTGGAGCCACATTTGATGACCGGAGGGAAGCTCCGTTCCTATGCATTTCGATACCCAATCGAATGTGGTCTCAAAAAATGAAATATCATTACCATCGTCCCATGGTTATAAATATCCTTTCCCTTCTTCTTCAGTTTACCGGTTTACCACATTGTGATTCTCCCACATCTCCCCCTACAAATGCTAGTCAACATCACAATTGTTTCATACTTGTCCCAAAAATGATGTTTTCCCAAAATTATGATGTTGACTAACATTTGTTCCCAATGTTAGTATGTTTACCCACTTATCCCAAAATGTTCCCAATGTTTTCCCAAAAAAACACCATATAATTCCGCATTGACCCGCAACGGTGTCATCTTTGCCATGGCGTTTCGGAAAATCCCCGACACCGTGGACGTTGTTCTTCGGAAAATCATGGTAAACCAGGACTAATCTTCATCAAAGATCCCATTGAAGTCCCAAAAAAATCGAAATCCCATAGAAATCACATAGAAATCCCGAAATTCCCATAGAAATCACATAGAAATCCCCCTTCAAACTGAGATTCTCCATAGTTTTCCCACCGTTTTCCCATAGAAATCCCATAGAAATCCCGTGTTTTTCCCATGGAACCACCGCTCCAAAACCTCCGTTGCCTGCGTAGCTCAGGTTCACAGAGATCCAGCCCACGCAGCTCCGGAGACCTGAGAGTCTTCGCAAGCGTTCGGAAGGTGGAAATGTGTGTGTGTTCTATAAATCTATGAGATATATGTAAAGTATCATTTATATAATGTAGATATATATATATGCATATGTATATATATATGATGTGTGTATATATATATATGCAATAGTATAGAGAGGAGGAAAGGAAAAAGTAACTTTCGAAGTAGAAAAGTAAACCCTCAAGATCCAGTGTCATCGGTGGAGAAAATCTCATGATCCACCATGAGATTGTCAGGTTTTTCCTCTTGAGACAAACCCGGTGTGATGCTCTAACAAGTACGATTCTTGAAACAACCCTAGGAAATCTGTTTACCCTCTGGTAAACATACAAAAAACTATGGAAAATCACCATGTTCAATGGGAAAATCCACTATAAATGGGCCATGTTCAATAGCAAACTGTTAGTCATAACCAGAGGGTAGATGATTTCAGATGTGCTAAACTCAATCAACAACTCCTTTTTGGGGATGGTTTCAATATATTTCAATCCCACCATATCCCAGCCATGAAAATGGCAGTCTGAACATTGCATAAAGGGTGAATCCCACATTAGATTTGGTACTCCATTTAAAAAAAAACAATCTTCTGCTGGTGATTTTCTGATGTTCCATTGAAATCGCAAAAAAAAATCCTCAAAAACATCCAAATATGCATATAGTCCACATATAGTAACCACATAGTCAGCCAATCCCAGGTTTCCATGACGTTGCCAATCCCCATTAGCGTTTTGGAAACCGCTCACCGTGGCACCATCACCTCCACCCAACCGTTAAACGTCGGTCGTGTCGAAACGGGCCCCCCCACTTTCCAGCACTCCGATGCGCTTCGCGGCCACCTGGAAGCCGCCATGGAAGTCCTGGAAGCCGAGAAATTGATGGAAAGCTAAGGGGGGATGGTTGGGTTGAAACATATATCATTTAATGGTGTTTAATGGGATTTAATGGGATTTAATGGGATTTAATATGATATACCCTCTGGTTATGTCAAACATAGCGAACTGGAAAATGACCCAGTCGAAATAGTGGATTTACCTATTGAAAATGGTGGATCTTTCCAGTTCGCTATGTTAAATTACCAGAGGGTATATAGAAACCATCTTTTTTAGGGGAATATACCCAGAAATTATGGCTGGTTGGTGTTTTGAAACATGGGATGGTTGAAACATGGTTGAAACATAAATGGCGAATATATGGTTAATATACTGATAATAATGGTTCATATATCCAGTTAATTACTTCATTAATCCATGAATTTCAATGAATTAATATTGTTGGTGGTTTGAACCATCTTGAAAAATATGAGTTCGTCAGTTGGGAAGGAATATCCCATATATTGTGGAAAATAAAAACTGTTTGAAACCACCAACCAGATAGGGATGATTGAAACTAGTTGAAACATACATAAGCCATAACCCATCAATGAATTTATGAGAATATAATTGTATCAACCCATCAATGAATTGATGAGAACTGATGGAACATTGAAGTACCCAAGAAAAAGTGTTGTTTCTTGTATTTGAACATATCAGGAGAGGCCCAATCGTGCTGAAACGTTAGAAAAGTGATGGTTGATGGCTTCTAGATGTTTCTATTGTCTATTGCGTGGTTTGTTTATGGAAAACGTTGAGGCTCGAGGGATGTTCTGGGGTTGATAATGTGACGGCTCGGCATCTGAGGGGTGCATTTGTCATAGTTCTGACATAGCCATGCCTGAAAATGAGGTATACCCTCTATATCTTTATGGGTAAAATGATGAAACACCATGGTGTTTGAGGGTACATTGCCAGGCTACATTGGTTAACTTTGGGAAACTTTGAAGAATCCAATGATTTTTCATTGACTGGTTAGCCAACTGGGTTTGTTGGATGAGTATCCAAAGAAGCGGGTTGTAACATGTTGTAACAATTCGCAAGAACCAGCAACTATTTCGGGTTGCTGGTATACCTACCCCTCTGAAAAAATATGAGTTCGTCAGTTGGGATTATGACATTCCCAATATGGTGGGAAAGTCATAATCCAGTCATGTTCCAGTCACCACCACCCAGATCACCATAATATTCCCATTGTTGTTGGTTTATAGCCTATTAACCACTATTAACCATCACTATTAACAAACTGGACAAGCACGGGCTGAAACTGGACACTTTGAGTCTCTGTCCATTCTTGTCTGAAGTATCGCCGAGCCAGTGCTCTTCTCGAAATATCCAGACATTGATTTAATGTCAACCCTGGTTATTTGTTACAGAGCCATGGAAAATCACCATTTTTAATAGGGATATCCCAGAAAATCATCGATATCCATCTAAGTCCATATATCATATATAATATATAATGTCAACCCTGGATTAACCAACCCCGTTTACGGCTGTTTAATTAAAGGGGGGTACCATTTCAGTCGCCAGAAGAATATATAAGAATCACTATTTGGGGGAACCACCACAATGAATCAACCAGGGTTTATTAATCCGGGGTTGACATTACAAGTGATATAAGTGTTTCACATCCTGAAATTCACTTCCAGGTTCCACTCAGGTTCACGCTGAAAATCGCGAAGTCAAGCCAGTGAGGCACTAGAACCATGGTATGACATGCACAGCTGACAGGTTGATAACAAATCGCCAGACTCATGAAGAACATATTTGGTGTATCTGACACCATGGTTTTCTCTGAACATCTGCTATATTATACCATGGCCAAGCCCTCAATCTGCTGCTGATTTACATACGTTTCCATCCATTTTCCATCCATTTTCCATCCATTTTCCATCCATTTTCCACCCATTTTCCCGATCAAAACGGCCACTTCTGAACCCTACCCTTCCCTATTTTTCAATGGCCCCTCAGCCATCCCCCATGCCGGAGCACCTCGTTAAAGTTCCACACCTCGGAGGTTTCCGTCGCAAAAAACGCCAGCCCCAGAGGTTTCGCGAAGAACGGTGGACCCCCAGTTTGCTGGCCAAGTTTTATCACTATTTTTTGGGAAAACCAGCAAAAAATATATATATATATATATAAATTAACCAGGGGCTCTTAAACCGGTATTGCCATGAAACCCCTAATCTTCCGAATAAGATCTGGAAATAAAATATGGGAAAAAAACATGCGATCCACTGGTTTATCATCATTAACATTCATCAACTCAACCAATTTGGAGGTTTCCTACAATAGGGCTACCCCCAGTTCTCATCCATTTATAGATCCGATTTTCCATGAAATAAACCATCCAACTATTGGTTGGTACCCCCCATGACTATGGAAACCTCCAATCGTTCAGGCGTCAAGGCACGATGAAGAGCAAGCGCGAGGTGCTCTGCAGACCGCAGAGACCCAAGTAGGTCAAGGTGGAGAAGGGACTCTCGAAGAATTCTCCTGGTGGACTTCAAATGATGGGAAGATTAAAGTATATAATGTGTATAAAATGTGTATATAATGTATATGTATATATATATATAAAGTATATATATAATGTATATATATATAATGTATATAATGTAGATAATGATAGATAATGTATATAATGATATATATATAACTGGATTAAAATGGATTAAAATGGTATAGAATGGTATCGAATGATATGGTAAGTGTTTGATGGATTGTAGTGGTTTTCCCAACATCTAACATCTTCAGAAAACGCTGGTGCTTTCGCAGCCGGCCAACGGTCAGTGTGCAGGTCACTTTTTGGCGACTCGATTTCTTAGCCTCTGGTGATGACTAACATAGCCATGGAAGCCATGGCCCATATGGCAGTGTGTCAAAACCTTGTACCCCTGGTGAACATCAAAATAGCTGGTAAATGGATGTTCATCCCCCTAAAAATGGTATTAATAGGTATTGATCCATACCCATATAGAAATCGATGGTTCACCGTTTTTACAAATGCTGGATCTTTCCATGGCGAACTGTGAACGTCATAACCAGATGGTAGATGCAACTGGCCAACTGGACTATGGCATGGAGCTGCCCCTGCCATGATCTTCACCCCAGTCACCACAGTTCCATCTGCCAAAATCCCACCAAAAGCATTGCACGTTGCATAAATCTGCTGAAGATTCTTGAGCTGAACTGGAACTGCTGTGCTCACCACCAGAGTATGGTTCTTCCCTTATCACTGCGGTTCCATCTGCCAAGAGTGCAGCAACTGCAGATGTTGTGCCACAAATCTGCTCAACATTCCAAAGCTGCTCTTGGACTGCTGTGCTGTCCCCACCACCGCTTGGAGCGCCCCCAACATGCAATGCTTTTGCTTCAACCCTGGCAGATCACTGATGTGCCAAGAGTGCAGCAAAAGCATTGCATGTTGCATAAACCTGTTGAACATTCTTGAGCTGATCTTCGACTGCTGTGCTGCTGCTAGACATGGTGCTACGAATCTTCTCAACACCGTTCAGCCGATCTTGGACTGCTGTGCTGTCACCACCAAGGTCAGGATTGCCCCATGCCACCACGGTTCCATCTGCCAAAACGGCAGCAAAGGCATCTTGTGTGCTACAAATCTGCTGCACGTTCTTAAGCTGAGCTCGGACTGTTGTGCTATCCCCACCACAGCTTGGAACGCCCCATGTCACCACAGTTCCATCTGCCAAGATCGCAGCAAAAGCATTGCATGTTGCATGAATCTGTTGAACGTTGGACTGCTGTGCTGTCCCCACCACAGTTAGACATGCCCCATGTCGGAGTTTGGCAAAAGGCTTCCCTAGGACTTTTGGGGGGGATGTTACCACCGCCCCCCCCCTCCGAGTACAAGAGACTACCAGCTCCACCACCAAGTTTGGTTCGCCCCACGTGACAATCCTATCAGATCCTGCGCACCAGGGGCAGCAAAGGCACTCGGACTGCAGTTATCTTTGGCTGCTGTGCCACAGGGGCAGCTGCGCCAGACCAAGAGGGGTTCACACCGTCTACTGGGCGACACCTGCAGTTGGAGGCTGCTTTCCATAGCGGCGGGCTCCAGGTTCTGCTTGGAAGTTGCCTGCTGGACCGCATTATCCGCATTTATAATGGCTAAGTGATATAGGTCTCTGTATCAAACGGAATCAGATGAGTATATGACCGACCAAAACTGGTGATTTCACCCATAAACCATGCCTTTCTGTTGGTTTTTTTAGGGCTGTTGGATGTCTGGTAGATCTAGAACTTGATGGCCTTCTAGCAGGGACACCAACTGGGAGTCGGGTGTGGAAACAGCTCTAGAGCTTGCCCTTGTCATCACCACATCTGAGCAAAATGTTGAGAAATGGCTGTGTCTGAATCTATATGATATATATATATATTTATTTATATTTATGTGGCTTTCCATAGTCATGGGGGTATCCCCAAATGGATGGTTTAGAATGGAAAACCCTACTAAAATAGATGATTTAGCCCATATATGTAATATAATATAATATAATATAATATAATATAATATAATATAATATATATATATATAAATAATATAATATAATATATATATATAAATAATATAATATAACATATATAATATAATATAATATAATATAATATAATATAATATAATATAATATAATATAATATAATATAATATAATATATATATAATATACACACACATGATATATATGATATCAGTATCTATTTTTTAGATACAGTAAATGGTCGAAAAAGTTGATGTTTTCGTTACATGAAAGGCCGGGATTGGCCTAAAATGTGGCCTCCCTCGAGTGTCCTTACATCAAAATGGCTAGAAACTTCAATTTTCTCCCTCAACATCTCGAAAGTTCATGAAACTTACCTCCATATCAAGAACTGAAGCTCGTGTACTTTGCCAACCCTGCATCTTCTTCTCGCTCTTTATATTATCCCTACAGGCTTGCCATACACGGGAGTAAAATCCCATCAACCACCAAATCAATGAATTAGTTTAACTGTGGGGGAACATTTCATAACACTTCTATGGTCTTTACCTCAAATATTACCCTGTCCACTGCAATTGTTCCCTTCAAATAAATCTAGAAAAAACATTACCCTCCAGTAAATTAACATAGACCCTGCCAAAGATTAGGCTCCATCGAAAATTGCCCATGTTCATCTATTTTTTCGTGTCTATGACTCTATGACTATGTTTTTTCCCCATTTTTTTTATGGTCCATATTAATTTTACTGGAAGGCTCTGTGAAAAATCCTCATCTTCACCACCTGGGAGCATCCACCCCGTTGCCCACGTTGCCCCACAAATCTGCTCGTCCTGGTAGCGATGGCACCAAGACGAAGAAGATGATGTTCAGCAACTGCGAGCCTTGGAGCGGTGGTGGTTTCCGGTTGGCTGTTCCCTTCAATCAATGGAGTGGTTAAAGGGAAAATCTACACCGGAAACCATGGGTTTTTACCATCAAATATAGGGTTTTTTCCTGTAAATTTTCCCATCATCCAATTCTATGATTCAACCAATGCCCGGAAGCCATGGATTTTTAAATTTGCTTTTGAACAAGCCCTGGAAAGTGATGGAAATGTTCGCATCATATGACTATATGACTGGTTGGTGGTTTTAACCATCTTGAAAAATATTATGGGAAGGATTATCCCATAAATTATGGAAAATAAAACATGTTTGAAACCACCAACCAGATGACTATGTGTATCTATATGCTTAATATTTATGTGTTGATTAATATTTGACCGACTGAAAATTACTAAGATAAACGGTTTACCTCGAAACTCGATGGGACATCTTGAAGAAATTCCCAGAAGCCAGTTCCTCAGTTCCTCCGAAAGCACTTGGGTCATCGAAGAGGACAATTTTCGCTTTGAAGTACAAAGTTTCACTAAGCTATACCCTCTGGTTATGTCAAACATAGCGAACTGGAAAATGACCCAGTCGAAATAGTGGATTTACCCAGCTTGAAAATGGTGGATTGTTCCATAGTTATGTGAACGTTTACCAGAGGGTACTAACTTTCAATACTCAGTGATTTTGGGATTCTTACCCCTACAATTCCCATCATTGACGTCGCGACGTGAGGTCGTGACCAAATTTTTGTCAGATGTGTTTATCCCCATAGAAGCTGCAGAAAAAAAAAAAACACATCAAACCTCAGATGCTGTCCTCATCTTTGGTGACAACTTCTCTCCAGTCTGCCTGAAATCCCTCGCTGAAAACCCGAACATCTCCGGTGTGAAAATCCCAACTTTTATCGGTGGAATCCCCATATTTACATACAGGAAGAGCCAGGTTTCACTAGGTGGTTATGTCCTGCAGATCTCTCCAGCACAAATCAGATATTGATAGACCAACTGGCTATCATTTATTGGTTAATTTCCAATAGGTTTTGTCCCTAGTTTATCCCGTTGATGGTTCTAGATACTTACCAATCATTCGGGCCCCCATGTACCTACCGCCCCTTCACCTGCCTGTTGGTTTATATCATCATTCATCAACATATTTTCACCCATACCATTGGTGATATAAGCATCCCCGCACATGATCTGCATGGTCTATAAACAAATACAACATGGGTGAGTGTGAAAGTATGGTACCTCTAAATCCATTGGTGAGTCATCATCTTCCCCACGTTTAAAGCCATTTAGAAGGTATCATGTGGGTAAAACAATGTCATAAACCTCCCATTGGGAATGGTAAACATACCACCTATAGATTTATGGTGATGACTGGGGGATGGTTTATTATGGCATTGTTGGCTCCCCACATTCTTGGGGATAGTTTTCCAATGAGTATGGAAAGATCCACCATCTTCAATGGGTAAATCAACGAACTAAATCAACGAACTAAATGTACCATTTTCAATAGCTATCTGGGTAATTTAATTACAATATTTCACTAACCTGAATAGTTCGGCCATTTGGGGATGATTCCTCTTATTAACCATGATTCCAGTGAGGGATGGTTTATGATGGCCTTGGTTTTATCCACAGCAAACCACCATTTTCAGACCTTCGCTATCCTTCGCTTCCACCCAGCAGCTGGCCATCAGAAGATTGGGCGGAATGCCACGTGAGAGGAAGAGCCACAGCAAGCAGCCACACCTCCGAGAAACGAGGCGATGAGGTGATGGTAAATGGACGAGATTCATGGTGATTTCACGGCTAGAAATCCATAGAAAACCATTGAAAAATGGTGGTTTAAGGACCAAGAAATGGTGATTTACCAGGAAAAACGATGAGTCAACCGAGGTTTGGAGCGATTTCCAGCCAGAACATCGGGGGATTTCACCAGGAAATATGAAGTGTGACCATAATTTACCATGTGTTACCCTCTGGTAAACTAACATAGCGAACTGGAAAATCACTATTTTTAATGGCTAAATCCACGAACTACATGACCATGTTCAATAGCTTTTTGTATGTTTACCAGGCCGGGTACCTGGTTCTTCAATGGGGAAAATACAGACCAGGTAGGCCACTAATGGTGTGGCGTCCAGAGGTGCACCAAACAGGGGTTCAGCTGGGATTCTGTTCCATGAATTTCTGGGGAAATTTCATCCCTAATGGAATATTAATATCCCCTCTAATCCCTATATCATCTATTCTATTAATAATCATAATATCCCCTCTGTTGGTTAGGATTCCCCGTTCTTGGATTATAGATTCGTATAAAGGGTAGTATAATCCCCAATCATCGAGCAACAGGGGTTTTGAACACTGCTCGTTTGAGGTCATCCAGTGACAATCGCATTCCTAAAAATAGACCATCCAGTGAATCATTCATGGTCATCTTCAACCTCATCCCCAGGTTCTAGGCCAAAAAACACCCCATCCCCAGGTTCTAGGCCTAGTTCCACCCCTCATCCCCAGGTTCTAGGCCTAAAATCCACCCGCCAAATCCAACCAACCACCAGCACGAGCGAGCGACCCAGCCCCCATGTAGAAAGTGATCCACAAGGCGTGTTCGCTTGCCAAGGTATTGGACCGTGCACCTTGGGAAAAGCACGACTTGAGGGCCGGGCCGGGCCGCCGGGCCTTGAAGATTGGGGGTGATCATGGATGAGAATGGAATCATTCGGAATATAATGGGAATATAATGGGAATATAATGGGTGAATAATGGGTGAATAATGGGTGAATATAGTATGATTTTGGTGAAAGAGAGTAGCTTTCATTGGAAGTTTGCAGGGTATAAAGTGACCTAGACACCTTGGAGGTTAGGTGTCTTCAATGACTTCTAGAAAATCTATGTCAGAAGGAATGTAATGTCACAGTGCCTACATTTCAGGTACCTGAAATTGTCGCGGATGTTGCCAATCACAACAGATTGACAAATATCAAACAACAACAACAACAACAACAACAAACAACAAACAACAAACAACAGACAACAGACAACAGACAACAGACAACAGACAACAGACAACAGACAACAGACAACAGACAACAGACAACAGACAACAGACAACAAACAACAAACAACAAACAACAAACAACAACAACAACAAAACATGTTATGGCCCCTCTGGTGCCGGACGCCTAAAGGTCTGATCCCTGGAAAGATAATGTCTGATGCCATGATTGTCTCTGATGCCCTTTATCATGCTGGAAATAAACAACCCAGCTTTGCAACCCAAAGTGTTTCAGCGTTCTATGGAATCTGCACACGACGCACCATGGTGAATTCCCAATGATTGTTTGGATGGTTGGTTACATCACTTAAATCAATTACTATGATCAATCGTCGGGTTTATAGCACCACAAAAAAACACATCGAAGAGTCAAACCCTCAAACAGTGGGAAAATGACGTTTCCATCCTTTTTCGGATGGTAGTTCCTATACGAAAAAAAAATGACACCGGAAACGCCGGAGACGCCACGCGCGGCATGTGCCGTTCTGACTAGGCGCGCACGTCCATGCTCTTCAGCAGGGTTTCACCCACGGGAGAGAAGATGTAGCCCAGAGCAATCACCTCGGGATTAATGGCCATGGTGGCCATGGTGGCCACTTGGGTGGCCCCTTTTCGGAGTTTTACCGCAGCCGCAAAATGGGTGAATATGGCTGAATATGGCTGAAAATATTGAAATACTGTATATTTGACTAGCCATCTTAATCCATTTTATATATGGATTTCACTGCAAAAATTCTGGCTTTAACCATGGAAAAAGGAACTTTAACTTATCAGAAAGAGTGTGTTCCGCCAACAAATAGTAGTTCGGGGTGTGTCTTAGAATGGGTTAGTTACTCAACAACAATTTAAATTGTTAATTGGAAAAACGGTGATTTTGGGGTGTACCCCATGTTCATCACCCCCAACGGTCCTACGTTTATCTCACTTGGCAATAAAAACATATACAAAACATGTCTATCAATGATTCACCAAGCATGAAAATTTTAAGTGAAGCTTGGATATAGTCTATGATAGTCCACTATATATATAGTACAGGTCTAGTGAAGTTTAGTAACTATTTTAAAAAAAAAAAAAGTAAAAAAAAACGCTATTGAAATGGTGATTCTTCCCTGCCAGGTTTTGTTAAATGCCGGGTAGCTCGTCTCATCTCTCATCAGCCCCACGTACTTTGCGGTGATATCGTCTCTTCAAAGGATTATACTAATCCAGCTAAGTGACCAACTGTACACACTATCCGAGTAAACTAACATAGCTATTAAACATGGCCATTTATAGTGGATTTGTCCATTAAAAATGGTTATTTTCCATAGCTATGTTAAATTACCAGAGGGTAGGATGAAATCAAATTTATTAGGCGTACAAGTCGTACAAGGGCCTGAATTCAATGTGTCAAATCAAAAACAACATGATCGAGACCCAAAGTCTGCAAGAAATGCCACAACCTTCATCAACTCTCACCTCGTTCGGAGATACATACGGTTTCCATAATTACTCTGCTGTTCAAACTTCCATCCACCGCCTCATTGTTTTTCTACCATTGGTCAGATCCATGTTCTCCATTGGAAAGATCCACCATGCTATCTAGCTGGCTAAATCCACTATTTCGACTGGGCCATGTTCAAGTTCGCAAACTGTAAACGTTTACTGCTTGGTGGTTTCAACCTCTCTGAAAAATATGAGTTCGTCAGTTGGGATGATGACATTCCCAATATGATGGGAAAAATCATCCAGTCATGTTCCAGTCACCACCAACCAGTTTACCAGGCCGGGTACCTTCCCCCCAACCGCCACCCACCGAGGCGCCACGTGGATGCGCAGACAGAGGCCCCGCGCGAAGGGCTTCATCAGCCACTGCGTCATGTGGCTGCGCTCCGTCAGCCGTTGATCGGCCTGGCAGATCCTCGGCGCCGCGGCGCATGGCGCATGGCATGGCGAAGAAACCAAGGGTCCCGGGGCGGGAAGGGGGTACCTGGAAATCACCAAAAACACATATGGATTTATATGATGTATGTTGCCCAAAAAATAGATTGAACTCACAAAAAAGAATAGGTTGATGATTGTATGTATATATGTGATTTATTGTTGGAAACGTGGTTTAGTTCACTAGCGGTTGGATTTATGGTGAGCATCTATCATAAACCAAGAGGCCCTTTTGAGAAGAGCATGCCAAATATAAAACTGATGATTTTGACTTTGATTTACATGGGTCATTAAATGTCCCCATTTTTCACATCACCCAACCATTAGGTATATGGTCAATGCCATGGCTACTTTTTCAGGTGATGTCCTTTATATTCCCAAAATGGGACAGGCAAACCAACCCATGATTTATTTCATGTCCAAAAAAAAAGAGTGGGTGACCCAATTCCCCATGGTGTCTGGCCAAGCCATGGATTCCATGGATCCAGGTTCAACCCGTAAGCTCCGAGTGAAATTTACGACGAATTTCACATGGTAGCTATAGATGCCATATGATGCCATGGCCCATTGATTTTGATGACTTAGATGTGTATATATATATACTGTATATATATATATATTCCGACTAAAAATGGTGATTGTCCATAGCTATGTAAAAAAAAAAAAACCAGAGGCTATCAGACTGTCTCAGACTTTCGCATGGCCAAGCGAAGATGAAGAGTGGGGTACCCCTGTCACACTGTCCCGTGGTTTCCCCAAAAACCATCACCACTCATCTTGGGATGGGTCAAAACCCTGTACCCCTGTAGTTCACATCAAAATCTCTGGTAAATTTATGGATGTTCACCCCCTAACATCCATTGTATCTATAGCTATTGATCCATAGCCAGGTTCCTTGGGATGATAACTTGGGGTTCCCCATGACTTTCGGAGCCTCCCACGTGACCAACGTGCCACCAACGTCCCAGTGGCTGACTCTGCAGTTGCTCCGCATCCTTCACCTTGCCCTTCATTTGGCCCTGGAAGATCGCTTCCTGTCGTCAAGAAAAAAACGCACGTGGAGTGCAAGGAACGTCCATTAAGATATCATTTCTATGGAGGAAATGGATAGTTGATGTTCTTTGAGGATTATCCATTCTCATGTTTACTTTGATTGGCCATGGAATCAGTCAACTAGTTAGTGACTGGGTGATGACCCATGATGTTGTGCAGTTAGAAGCCCAGTTTGAAACCGGTTAACACCAGGGCTCACCTAATTATCCAATACATAACATGGTATCAATCATAATTGGTTATATTTATAGTTATGTAATAAATCATTAGTCATAAAATAAAGCATTAGTTATACCTACTGATATATATATAGTTAATGATAACTGGTTCTTATTAACATAATCAATCAGCTCGTCATAGTTTCATGAGTTTATGTTAATTCCGATATATAACAAATATATGGGTATGGATCAATACCTATTAATACCATTTTTAGTGAAATAAACATCCATAAATCCCAGCTATTTTGATGTCCACCAGGGGTACAAGGTTTTGACACACTGCCATATAACTAATAGTCTAGTTCATGTTTATAGTTAACCCCTCCTATAGCTCCATTACACCCATCTGAGCAGTGTGCAAAACCCTTGTTGGTTCATCATCATCCTGCGGTAAAGATGCAAACAATCAATGGGAATTTCAGGATCCTAAAATGGGGGTACCTACCATATATAAGGCCTATGTTTCAGGCCTATGTAAGGAGATATACCCCCAAAAATACGGCCAAAAATATGGTACTAACGTACCTCCATTTTAGGATCCTGGAATTCCCATTGAAACAACTATGGAAAATCACCATGGTTTAGAAGTACGTCATCTATACATGGTCGATTTTCCATAGGGTACATGGTGGTTTCCATAAATGGGGGTACCCCTAGTTACTAGTTATCATCCATGTTATTTTCGGATTTTCCCTTATAAACCATCCAGCTATTGGGGTACCACCATGTTTGGAAACCTCCATGTGGACTATAATTATACTACCCCGTTATAATCCCATCATTTACAGTGTTTCATAGTGACCATATTTAAAAGTACATCTGTACATGGTTGATTTTCCATAGACTATATTGGACCATACCCTCTGGTAATTTAACGTAGCTATGGAAAGATCCACCATTTTTCATGGGAAAATCCACTATTTCAATGGTGATTTTCCATAGTTATTTTGACATAACCAGAGGGTAAACCTCCATTTTCCATCATTTTCCTATGGTTTTCCTATGGTTTTCCCATTCAAACCTCCATTTTCCTATGGTTTTCCCTATCTGCCACCGTTGGCCCATCCGTTTCGCTTCGCACCCTCATCAGCTCGTGCGTGCGGTCGTCGCTCACCGGCTGCGTCAGGAACTCCGCGTCCTCGTCGATGTCCTCGATTTTGCGTCGGAAGGTTGTGGAGATTTCCATGGGGGATATTTAAAGGGGATATATATGATATATATATAATATTTCACTAACCTGAATAGTTCGGCCATTTGGGGATAATTTCCCTTATACAAAACCATTATTCCAGTGAGGGAGAACAGTGAGGTCGTTATAATTTACCCAGATATATAGATATATATAATATATAATATATATAATATATAATATATATATGATATATATAATATATATATATATATAATATATATATATAATATATATATAATATAATATATATATATATTAATATATATTATATATATAATATATATAATATATATATAATGTTGGGATGGATTTGTTCCAAAACCCGTTTTTTTTAGATCTTCTGGCTCTGCATGAAGACGACATCCAACACTTTGAGGTCTCAGGCGGAAAAAATATGAAGATGTATGAAAAATGGGGGATCTATCCATCCAAACTGGATGTTTGACCAGCCCAAATGTCGCTCCAAAATCCCATGGTCTAGACATCATTTTTCGCCATGTCCAAAAAAACAATGCGTCGTTGTTCAACGTTTTGCATGGGAAATTCATGGAAATTCATCCAGAAGATCCAAGTCTTAGATGTCTTAGGGACATCTGATGTAACTCACAAGAAAAATGTTGATACAACCAACAAACATGCATGGATGTAACAAAAACTAGACGAGTATTCATAGGCTTCTCAATGTTATAAGTTACAGTATATAGATTTCCGACTTCCTTGGTTTTTGGTGTCTTGAGTACCGGATTCCCATGATACCGAAACTGACACAAGCCTATGCCGCACCGTGCAGTCTCTGCGGAAACCTCATCATTGGGTTCCATCAACACCATGGGATTCCTTGCTAATGGTAAAGCAATAATAACCCATCCCCATTTTTTCCATAAATGGGTGCTATAAACCATCCATATGGGTGGATTATGTATTATTGCTTTGCCAACATTACATGCTTTTCAGGTCAGTAGTTTTGCACGTCCCAATTTTCAGAGACCCCTCATATCACTCTGCCCCAAAAAATGTTTATCACCATCTTTCCCATTCAAACTGCAAAGGTCTAACGAGAATCAAATGGTGAACTCATATCCCGTCACTCCGACTCGTTCTCATGAGCCCCTTATACTTCTCAGCATCCAGTGACAATCCTTATTCTCCAATTGGACTCACTAATCACGATCGAATTCTATTGATCCAAGTGGAATCTAGTTAACACGTCAATTGTCCAACTTGTAACCCTTTTCTCCAAAAGCATCCCCATCATCCCCCCATGTTTGTCAGTTATTTTAGTTGGCCGTTCAACCGTCATTTTAGTTGGTTAAGACCCCACGGGAATCCCCGGACACGATCTTCGAAAAGGTCGAGACACCAAAATACGCATCTGATGAGCCACCTAGCGAGGCCGCTAGGACAAGATATGTTAGATATCTATATGATGTGTACAATATATATATATTATAGGCGTATATGATTATATTCGTATATAGGTAATTGTATATCGGTATATATCATGTGTATATATATATATCATTGTATAATAAGTAAGTGTATATATATATATCATTCTATATAGGTATTTAGAACAATCTAGTATTGTATACAACTGTATATATACTAAAAGGTGCGTATATAGATATATTCAATCCTAGATGTGTATACTATCTATTATACGTAGCTCCCAGTTCTTGGCACTCCAAAGAGATGTGGAAAACCCATGGGTTTAGCCAATGCGGAAATCCATGAGGGAAAATGATCTACATTTCCGGGGTGTTTCCACATCTACATGATATCAGATTAGATCTATATTATATTAATATATATATATGTATACTGGTTGGTGGTTTCAACCAACTTGAAAAATATGAAAGTCAATTGGGATGATGACATTCCCAACTGAATGGAAAAATAAAATTCATGTTCCAAACCACCAACCAGTATATATATATTAGTTTAACAGGATGGTAGCTGGTGATGCCGTTGTTGTGCTGGGTATTCTCCTGGTTTCCGATTCAATCACACTTAAGCCTGGCGAAGTCCGAGAAGGTCCGATCTAGAGGGTTGCACCCTGCGAAAGCACCAACCTTATCCTCTGGTAAACATACAAAAAGCTATTGAAAATGGCCATAGAAATAGTTGATTTGCCTATTCAAAATGGTGATTTTCTATAGTTATGTTAGTTTACCAGAGGGTATCCTTTGTTCAATTGAAACCCTGCGGCTAATCATCATCACTTTCCCACTAAAGTGGCCTCTCATTTTCAAACTAAGATTGTTCAATTTACCCTGTTGAGAATTATATCCCTATAAAATGCCCAACAAAAATGATAGTTGGTTCTAAACCATCAAATGTGTGTGGTGAGCAATGTCATAAACCATCCATATGTTCATGGTTTATAGCACATAATACGGTAAAGTCGGGGTGGATCCTGTTGCTTTACCAACATCTAATATCTCCATTTGGTTCACCTGCCCAGTGGATCGGCCCCAGGGCTGGAAAATGCGCTGGAAATGAAGGTTTACAGCTGGAAAAATCAACGAACTAAAGAAAGACTTTTCCAGCACGCCATGTTTGATTATTGGGCATTATCACAACAAAGGATGGAGATATCATTGGGAGATAGTTGACAAATGATGGTTGATGGTTGTAGGGGCTTATCCCAAAAACTTGGGCCTGATCACCATCTTGACCATGCGCAGGGACGACTTCTTGGGTTTTGAACACTGCTCAGGTCCATGGACCCTAGATTCATGTCGATTCTAGTGTTAAGCATCGAAATTTAGGGCTATCATGGGCTATCTGCGTTTCACTGATACACAAATTGAACATTTCACTGGGAGACTTGGAGAAATGGAATGAAATTTAAAATAGAAACATTCCTGTTGCTAGTATCCTATCATAATCCCATCCCATGAATATCTCTCTTAAACCATGTAAAACCCTATTAAGCCATGAAATGTCCCATTCATTAATACCCCATACCCCCACAATTGTTGGTTGTATACCATGATGAAACGCTATAACTTGCCCTTTGCATGGTTGTGGTGATTTCATCCAGTTGGTTGGGGATGATCATAGGGGATATTTAAGGGAAAAAATCCAGAGGTACTTCCCAGAGGTGTATATATATAATATGACCATTGTATTATCACCATTATATTATTCTATCAACGCCCAATGGTTAAAAAAAAACGGTATATAATATAGTATTAAACCATATGGCAAACCATATTAGAACCATATTAAATCCATTTTAAACATGTGCTAAACCATATGCCATCTTAAACCATATGCCAAACCATCGTAAACCATCTTAAATCCCCATGCTCCATTCATTTCCCTTCAATGATCCATAGCCATATCAACTGGTTGGTGGTATACCTACCCCTCTGAAAAATATGAGTTCGTCAGTTGGGGGTACCATTCCCAACTACCCTCTGGTAAACTAACATAACTATGGAAAATCACCATGTTTAATGGGAAAATTCACAATTTCTATGGCCATTTTCAATAGCTATGTTAGTCATAACCAGAGGGTAAATCCCATTAGATTCCATTAAACCACCATAAATCCCATTAAATCACCATTAAACACCATTAAATGATATATGTTTCAACCCAACCATCCCCATGTCAATGATCCATGGCTTCTTCCCGGCGCCTGCGCGGTGGAACTCATGCGTCGCAGCACCGTGGCCTTCCGCGGCGCCATGGCTTCGTTCAGCACTTCCTGGGCGAACTGACGGAGGGGTGGCTAAAACCCATGGAAAGGTTAGTAAAAACCATGAAAAACCTGGGAAAACCTGAGAAAACCATGGTAAACCCATGAAAAACCATGGTAAACCCATGGAAAGGTTAGTAAAATTCATTAAAAACCATGAAAAACCTGAGAAAATACCAAAAAAAGCTGGGTAAACCATGGAACATGTGACCAAAACGGTGGGTAAACCCATAGGAAATTGACCTAAAAACCTGGGAACTATGTAAAAAAACAATAAAGTTTGGATGCGTACACCATGTTTTACCCCAACAAAATATGGTGCTTTGCCATGGTTTACCCAAGAAAAAAAATGGTGTGAACCCAACCAATGCTAATACATTCTCATATATGATAATTTTGGTTTGTCTGAAAACATCCCCAACATCCCATGATAATCCCATGATAAATTGGGGGTCTCCAGTTCAACCGCATCATCCCAGATAGCCCCAGTTTGTGGAGGAAGACCTTAAGAAACCACCGGATGTTAGTTGCAGCTATTGATATCTCTTGATCTTCCAATATCTTCCCAATATCTTCCCAAATGTCTGCTCATCACCCACTAGCAAACCCCAGCCACAATGATAATGATGGTTGATTGAATCTGATCGGATGATCCCATATGATCACCAGATTTCAACCCCTCTGAAAAATATGAAAGTCACTTGCGATGATTATTCCCAATATATGGAAAAATAAAAAATGTTCCAAACCACCAACCAGATAAACTCCTACCCAGCAACCCAAACCAGCCACCCTTTCACGTCCCAGGCACGCGGGTTCCAGCATCTGCGTGTTGCTGTGCGTCAAAGAGGAGATTGCCCTCCCCCGCGAAGGATTTGAAGTTTGTGATGGCCTTGGAGTAAGAACCTCAGCGTCGGCGAGGGATGGATTCTGATGGATCTTCCCATGGATTTCACCAATAATGGCCTTTTGGTAAAAATAGAGGGGCCGGTGACTGGTTAATTTAATCCCATCTATCATCAAACAAACCTGTTGTTAAAGGGGTAAACCTTCAAACCCCTCTATTAATCAACCAACCAATGGGAAAAGGACATCTATGTTCACAGATCAAAAGTCACGATGATTTCAATGGATCTTTTGGGCTTTTCTGACACGGAACTATCTCAAAAATGGATGGTTTGTTTCATAGGAAAATCCGAGAATCTAAAATCTGGTTGGTGGTATACCTACCCCTCTGAAAAATGATGGAGTTCGTCAGTTGGGATGATGAAATTCCCAATATGATGGGAAAAATCAAATTCATGTTCCAAACCACCAGCCAGAAAATGGATGATAACTAGGGGTACCCCCATGACTTAGGAAACCTCCATGTCATGAGGGACGGATTCCACCAATCTTGGGGCAGAATTTCTTGTCCGTCATGGGACATGTCCCCACCACTCTCCACCAAAACGAAACATCATAATACTGCAATATTTCCCCGGAAAAATCCATGAACTTGACCATGATGAAACATGTTTTTTAATCCAACCATGATGAAACATGTTTTAAAGTCCTGAAATCTCATGAACATGTCCAAAAAACAAAGGCAACCAACTGAATGTGAACACCAAAAAAATCTAGGGGTTCCTTTAAAAAAAATGGGTAAAAATTTGGGTACCGTGCCTGAGAGGTTGGCCCTCCAGGTGTCGAAGGGGAAGTCCGCCTTGGTGGCATTCAGCGCCATCTCCCAATACTCCGTGTCAGGCCTTGTGCGGAATGGGGATCGTTGGGGTTGGCTGGAGATTTCGATCGGAATTCTCCATGGAAATCCCGTGGAAATCGATGGAAATCGATGGAAAAAAAAGGTGTCTGAAAACGAGAAAAAGATGAGAAAACCTCGAAAAAATGTATGATGTCAATGAAAAATGATGAGAAACCACAGGGTTCTTTTCGGGTAAACCTAGTTTCAATCTGGAGAGGTTGCTGTAGATTTATCTCAATTTCTGGCCACGAGGTCCCAGCCATTGGGGATATCTATCGGATAGCAACACTTCGGGCTGGACTAAAACCACCCTGGCCGATGATCGCAGGTCATATACGCCGCTCCTCCAGGTAAACAGGTACACACAAAGATTGAAGAATGAGGATAACAGAAAATGGTTGAACCCGTATGCTCAGGCAAGACAGGAATGTCATTTTGTATATAATAAACATTATAATTATGTATACAAACTATATATAGTAGGTGATTGGCACTTAGAATCGGTAAATCAGTGCGACAATCACTTAGAATTGCTTCTCAGTGATACCTGGGGAGTGCACTAAGAATTGCTGCGGTGCACTAAGAATTGCCGGCAGTGATATTATAAGAATGCACTAAGAACTAGAAGGCCATATCATAATCATGCACTTAGAATTGTATCAACTCCTAGTGGTACCCCCAAATCATCCATTTGTTAATTGTACGATTTTCCACTGTAAACCATCCATTTTGGGGTACCCCATGTATACATAAAATCCAAATCATCCATTTTGGGGTACCCCCATGTTTAAAAAAAAAAAACTATGTGTTAGAAATGCGTATAAAACGATTCTAAGCCGTTTTTTTCTAGCACTTAGAAATCGCAGATTTCTCCAAGGCAAAAATGAGGGAAAAAAAATCTATGTGCTGGTCACTTACTATAAACATGTTGTCAACTGTTCATTTTGTATAATATAAACTATATAAGTATGTAACAGTTTACATTCCTAGAGGGTAGCTTAATTGAACCCCCAACCACAACTGGCAATTGTCGACGTCTCAGAAAAGAACTATACGTACTACGTGTTGCAAAAAAATGCCGAGTATACATTACATGCTGTAAATCTCTGCCCCTTCATCCTCTTGCTCTTCTACTTGCCGGGCCACAAAAATATGAGACTCAAGACCCCAATTTCTGGAAAGGAACAAAACCCTAAACCCAAATCTTTGGTTTTTTTCTCCGACAAAAAACCAATGGTGACACCGATGACACCATGACACCAGCAGAAACCGAGTGGCAGATTCAGCGCATGGTCCACAGAACAAAAGAAGCTGTCGATCAAACTCTTCGAGTCATCACTGTTCTGCTGCCGGAAGTAGACACCTGGCGCCAAAAGCACCGCAGGCGGCGGGGAAAAAGGGGCAGTCATTGTTTGTGTTTGCACAAAAGCGTTTAACAACAAAAAGTTGAAATTCTCAAAACTGATAGATAGTGTTTTTTTTCCGGATATGGCAACTCTTGGAGGGCTCATAGGTGAACTTTCTGTGTGCTGCCAAAGCATAGGTATGCAATGGTATGCATAGGTCATATTTTGCCTCACATGGCCTTTCAGAAGACAGGCATCACCCTTGGATTCCAAAAATCTTTGATTTCTGAATGCAAAAAACACGGGTGTTCCCTTCGGGTTCCATTGGTTGATTTCGGGAGTAGACCCATATTCTGTGCACCTCTCGGAACCTGGCTTCATCTTCTGAGTTTAGTTAGCGCATTTCAGTACGCGAAAAAAATAACCACTATAAAAAATCACCCTGGGTGATGTGTAACATTGTGTAACATTGAGCCAAAACTAAGGAAGGGTTTTTGGACCCCACCGGGAAAACTGAAGTCATGCCATGTTATGCCTTCGCTTCAGATTTTCTTTCAAATCCCGAATAAACAAGGTAGGTTGATGACCCCGTGTTTAAAAAATAAACCGTCATTTATCAAGCCTGCATACTTGTATATCAGTACATCGTGTATTCCCATGTCTTTGCTCTTGTTCAAACCTGGATAACACTCTGTTTATGTTGTATCCCGATTCAAAACCCAGATATTCGACCAAAACCCAGGCCGCAATATGATAGTGGTTTCGACACCGCTGAAAAGCATCAGTCAATGTTGATGATCATCCCAAATAGTGTTGAAATAACAAATGTTTGAAACCACCAGCCAGATTGTACCTGTTTGTACCACCAAAGACTAACCAAATCATATGATATAATGGGCGTGTTAGATCCACAGTGCTTGAATAAGTTGTCTCAATTTATCAATGCTACAAAATTGTTGAAATCCATATTTCATGATCAATAACCCATCCAGAAACTTTTTGGCTGGCTATAATCCATACTTTATGGTTCAGAACACCAGTGAAACCCCCTATTTGTCCATAATAACAGTGTTGGCTGAACCCCCCATGTTTCAATTCCCCATCAATGAAACCAAGATAATATCTATTATGTAATATATAATAATATATATATATATCCTATTTATTATTAATTATTCCTATTTACTGATTGTATGATGCCCGTCTAAAATCATGGTGACCAAAAAAGGCTAGAACCTCAGTTTTGGTGGTTCAAATCCATATCTTGATGATGAATAACTCAGTGAGACCCCATAATTATTTGTCAACAGCCCAAAAATGAGGACGGCCAAAACTTGATAGTGATCCGTTCAATGGTGCCAATGCAAATGGCCCCGTCGCGAAAATCCCGCATGTTTGGTGGTTAGAACTCGGGTTAAATCACCATTTTTGTTGGGATGTGAACTTCAAAATCTCGTTCAATCCAATCAAAATCCCCATACGATCCAGGACAAGTCCTACTAAAATCTCTGCAAAATACATGGTATTTCAATAATGTCCTTTTGGTAAAAATAGAGGGGCCGGTTTGGTATACCATCTATCATCAAATAAACCTGTTGTCAAAGGGGTAAACCTTCAAACCCCTCTATTCATCAACCAACCAATAGGAAAAGAACATCTATGTGTTATTTTGCCACTTGAGTAACTGGTCAGTAAGTGGGGTTATGATTTGTTTTTTATGATACTCCTAAATTTGTCTCCCATGATCTTCGCCACGATCCCATTTCTGCAGGTATTTACCAAAGATATAAGATATATGCCCCCAGTATGGTAGTACGCATCATTATTATGTTGAATCATTATATATCCCTTACTGTCAATCCCATGATGATTGCCATTTACTGGCTATAGCCCCCATCAAATGGCTGTAACATGATTCTAAGAGTTCTGATTCTAAGCCTAATAAACTGTAAACTGGGTTTGTCTCCCCACTATTGGCTAATTTAATGGGGAAGTTTATAATGGACTATAGTGGACTTGGGGGTAGCCTAGTTTCAGAGAAACCATCAAAATGGACTTCGAATTCTACTATCATGGGAAACTCTGAGTTCCTTGCTTCCCCATTTCAACTTGAATTTGCTGGGCCGGGGGCTCCCAATGTTTTTTCCCCTTTTTGGATTCCCCATCCAATGGTGGATGTTGGGTTCCCCCCCAAAAAAATCGACTATTAGCAGACTCACAGACTATTAGCAGACTATTAAAAAATCTAGTTGGGAAAGTTCCATTTGGGTTGCTTCCCCCAAAAAAATCTTGCTTCCCCATCCATTTCTATAGATTCCCCATCTTTTTGGGATGGTCCATTGAGAAACTCAGAATCATCTGCATCTCCTCGCGCCTGGCATTTTTCCGAGACCGCCAATGGCGGCCCCCACCGAGGGCACGCCCAGCAGGCCGAACTCCACGTCCACGTAGCCGAAGGGCTCGGAACCTGGGACGAAATGCTGGGAAAATGCTGGAAAAAACCGTGGGAAAATGGTGGAAGATGATGGAAAAATGTTGGAAGATGTTGGAAAATGTTGGAACTGTCCTCAGTATGCAACCTTTCTTGTTGGTCAGATCATGTTAGATCCCCATTCTTGTTGAGTAAATCTCTATTTTTCTTGGTCAAATCTCAATTGTTGCGGGTGGTGGATGACCATCCATGTTTTCCACGTTTGCCACGTAAACCGCCTCGGTTGACGCCACGTCACACGAGGGCGTGAAGCACAGGTGCGCACCCCGGCGGAGCTCCTCGGGTAGCCTGAAGAACTTGGTACAGACGAAGAGACGGCCCTTGAACTCATCTCCTTAGTGCTGTGAGGTCCAAGGACCCCATTCGGCACCCCAAAATGTTTGGAAGTAGAAGGAGCTCCAGTAAATGTCTCGCTATTTTGGTATAGGAGTTTGCTTTTTTGATTTTTTGGGGGTTTGCTATGGGTTGCTATAATTATAAATTGGAGATGCTTTTGTTGGGGGTGACAAAAACTGGAAAGCCGGCTCATCAAAGCTCACCTTGTCTGCGGGCCTCGCCAAAGACCCATCTGCGGGACTTTCAAACTACTCTTATCCTCAGGGTGTACGACCCGCAACCATTAGATATGTTGATTAACTATGATTAACTGGGATTTGTCTTAACACTGAAACACAATTTGACCAGATTAGACATATAGCCACTTATGTAATCCTCAAGCCATTCCCCCCCATTTCCACACATTTCATAGTCCTCCCAAACCAATCACGGCTCTCTCAAGAACTGGTCACCTTCCCTGGGGAAAATTGCAGCTGGCCGTGCACATCCCCATCTGACGTTGGTCCCCTTTTCCGGTCACTCAAGTCCCAAGCCAAGTCATGGTGCACCCCCATCTTATCTGGGCAAACTCTCCCATCTTCGCCAACTTCAACACCTCTCTGCTCACAAAAATTCCATTTCTGTCACTGAAAAATCCGAAAAATCCCCAACTGGTTGGTGGTTTACCTACCCCGCTGAAAAATATGAAAGTCAGTTGGGATCATTATTCCCAACTGAATGGAAAAATAATCCAAATGTTCCAGTCACCACCAACCAGATCACCATAATATTCCCATAGTTGTTGGTTTATAGCCTATTAACCACTATTAACCATCACATAATCCAGTCATGTTCCAGTCACCACCAACCAGCCAAGGTCGCTCCAACTTTCCAGCCAAGGGGCCCAGCTGATCCAGCAGCGTGCCAGCATAGAGGCCGCAGGCATCGTCCGGCGGCCCAGCCAGGATGATCTGCACCTGCGCGGCGAAATCTGCGCGACTGCCGTGACCGTTGTGTCGTTAACCCTCTGGTAATTTAACATAGCTATTGAAAATGACCATTTATAGTGGATTTTCCCATTAAAAATGATGATTTTCCATAGTTATGTTAGTTTACCAGAGGGAAACATGGCTGAAATTCCCATTGATGGATGTGATGGAAAAAAAACGTGAAAAAACACACATGGACCCACTATCTGATACCTGCCATGGGATCTGATACCTGCGGTGGGTGTAATTTGAAATGGTTTGAAGCAAAAAAACAAATAAGGACTAAATTGGGCTTTGAAGCCATGAGATTGAATTGGGGAAGCAGAAATTAGGAGAATTGGAGAAGATTTGGGGATGTTTTCTGATGTTTACCAACCCTGTTCTTACTGGTGCTAAACGTAGGGAATTTTCGGGAATGATCCATTTCATCACTAGTAATAATCATCCCAGCAACCCCTAGCAACCCATCCATTCCCTACGTAAAACGCACCAGATCTAAAAATGTATTAAATATGTATAGATTCACTATAGATTCACTATAGATTCACTCTAGATTCACTATAGATTCACTCTAGATTCACTATAGATTCACTATAAACATATACAGTTTATAAGTGTTCATCTGTTCATCCATGGGGATGTGACTTCGACAACTCTCGTGGTGCGCACCTCTGGGTGACTCCGAAGGAAGGCCGGCGTCAGCATGGCGATGTGGTCCACACCCTTCCTGGGTTGGTGACGACTAGGTGAGCCATGGAGCTCCGTGATATTTTCCATGGGAAATGGAGGGGTTTTTCATGATAGAATCTACCACAAGTGGTGTATGATGATGATACAAAACCACCCAAAAAAATCATGGAATTGAGTAATATATGGAATCTTGAATAGCGATTCGTGTTTCACTTGTCGGCATCTTTTTGGGGGTTGCCATGATGATAAAATCAACTTACCATGTTTGAGTACCAGAGGGTCAATCCATGTTACCATGGGATTTAAGGCAGGGTTGACCAATAGGAAATGAACAAGCAAACATGGGTACGTAGTACTTAACCATCAAAATATGGATTTATTTAATATGATTTAATGGTACGGTATATAATTATTGTATTAATGAGATATAGTGGGATATATAACAACCCCGCAATAGATAGAAGAGGTGGAAAACTAGAGAATATGACGAAAAATAATCTATAAGATCCTGCAAAAACGAACTTGTCTATCATGTTTCATCTTTGGGGGGGGCCTATTCATGGCGATTCAACCCAGATACAGGGCTATTCCATGTGCCAGTGGTGACTTGGGATGCAATCCTGTTTGGGCAACCCAAAAAAAATGTTGTGTAAACCCAAATCACTACAAACCTCCAATTCTTTGAGGCTTACGGATAAAAAATAGAAACTGATACATGTACGGACACATGATTGCTTCATGGTTGGGCTTTCCACATACAATCGGACCTACCGCCCTTCAGCAGTCAAACATGGCATGCTGAAAATCATTGACTTCGATGATTCTTCCATCTAAACCTCCATTTTTACCAGGTAAATACCAATCCCAGCTAGTATTTTGAGGAGTTTTCCACATTACCAGGTAGATTCTTCCATCTATCATTTTTCCCAGCTAGAAATCCTCCATTTACTTCGAGCGACTGTTTCACCCAGCGCCCGATGAAAATCAAAATCTTGGCGCCTGGGTCCTCATCCAAACCTGCAATGCTGGAGCTGCAGAATTCGAATGACCGCAACACTTAGGGAATAGGGAAACTGGAGATCTTTGGAAAATATGGAGTTTTTGGGGGATGTTTTTCATCAGCTATAATTTGTCCATCACGTGTTTTTGGGGGGGGCCTGGAAACAGAATTGCTCCAAACGGGCAAGTATAGAAATAAAATACCAATTTACCCACCTTTAATGGCTATCATTTACATCTAGTGGGTTGGAGCAACTCGGAAATCTTTGCAAAATATGGAGATTTTTGGGGTGATGTATGATTTCTTGGTAGGACCGGCCCCAAAGAAGGAACTGTGGAACCAAGTTGCAGTTTATATTCACCTGATCCTAGCCTCATGGGTTCACACCCTCATTTTTTCGCTTTATCTTTAACATCCCTAGGGAAGCGGTAGAAACTCCAACATGCTTTTCCAAACACCGTGTTTCCAACCTCAACCCGCCAATTCAATATGTCGTCCCATGTCTTGCCTTCTTAACCAGCAATCTTTGATGGTTCTAACCTCCCGTTGAGCTCATGCTGGTGAAATTTGAAGCCCCTTTTGGAAGGCAGGTTCCAACCCCATCTTCATCAATCTTCACCCATCTTCGTCAATCTTGCCCTGTTTCTAACCCCATCCCCAACCAAACCCATCCCATCTCACTTCAGACATATACAAAGACAATTATGAATTGATGAAAATCCTATATTTTTCATGTTTACACCCCCCATTTTCCGTTTTGGCTAGTGAAACCTCCATTTTTTGATGGCTGCAAAACCCCGCTTTTGATACTTCAATCGCCATAAATGGGCGAAGCAAACCTCCATTTTTTTCCATACTTTTGCCATACGGTGGATGGAAGAAATCCTGCACCACCTTGGATGGCTGAAACCCTAGAAATCATGGGATGTTTACCATCTGTCAACTGGTGCAGCATTTCTTCCATCCACAGTATGTTTATAGGTTTTCATAGGCAGAATCCATTGTTTTTCCCATTTTCCCTAGGTTTTCCTAGGTCAAGATCCACTTTTTCCCCATATGTTCCGAGGTTTTCCGAGGCAAAATCCCATCCCCATCCCTTCCCCGTGGCGCAGATCGCCGAGGCGCCGCAGTGCCGTTGCAGTTGGCCCTTGGCCTCGAAGCGCAGCGCGCGGAGCTTCTCGATGCTCGTTTGGATGTCCGCGGGATCGGTGGCCTTGAGGCTGGGAAGAAATGATGTGAGATACCCTCTGGTAATTTCCCATTGAAAATGGTGATTTTCTATAGTTATGTTAGTTTACCAGAGGGTAATACCCAACAAATATTACCCTCTGGTTATTTAACATAGCCATGGAAAATGATGTGAGATAATACAGGATGGGGCCCCCAAGATAGCGTTCGGTTGGTTTATAAGTGGCTTAACAATGGTTTATGGTAGATATAACTATAGTTATGGTCCCCCAATGTGAGGATAATACCCAACAGGATGTGGGTCAAAATGGAAGACCGATGCGGGACCACAGATGTGAATGTCTAGTTTAGTATTAACCATCCATAATTTTGGGGTACCTAATTTTGACCCATACCCAACAAATATTAAACATGGAGGATTTAAGATTCGATATCCATAGATCATAGATCGTTTACTATGGTTTAACCATGAAAAATGATGGTTTACTATGGTTTTATGGGATGAACATACCCTCCAGTAAATTAACATAGACCCTGGTAGATAGAGGTTGGAAGATTAGTGAAACCACTAAAAATTGGTGATTTTCAGGGTCAAACTGTTAATTTACCAGAGGGTAATATATTCATATCATTTGTATTAAGCCTAATTAACATTCGATTTTATATCATTATTGTTAATACTATATTAGGTTTAATATTCATACAAATGATATGAATAAGATTGTTTTATGTAGGGGAAAACATCTTATTCACATTATTAATGTCATGTTCATGTGGGAAATTATGTGTGAAATTATGTGTGAAATATCATATCACATATTGTATTATAGTATTCATACTATGTTGTATTGATTATTTCATGATTATAAACGTAGATAGTGGATATTGGATATATGGAATATATATACATTGGAATAGATCGGAGGCAGATCAGGGGTGAACCCGCCTCACCTTTCAGTTACTGGGGTTCAACTGGGCAAAGCCCCTTTTTTTGCAGGTTACCGAAGGGTTCCTGTATGTCACTGCCATCCCATCTATACAGTCAGTTCCATCCTTAAAAGAATCCGTTAAACTATTAAACTAGAAATCATAGAAACATCATATACAGTAACTGCAATCAGTGTGTAATTTTCGCTACATCCCAAGCAAAAATTCACCACTTAAAAATCTAACTGATATAAATATCATCTGAAATATCATATAACTATCATCAATTACATATATATATATGTATATTGTAGTACTCCAGCTACATCCCAAGTATCCCAAGTAACTTCACCAGCAAAAATCGCCACCCAAACTCCCCACCGTCCCACCCTGTTAACATGGCGAACGTAACAAGCGCCCAAGCGGCGTTGTCCAAGCTGATGAGATACGGCAGGCCGGCGAACAAGGTGCGCTCACGCTTCAGCTCCACCTGAGAGGTTGGAGGAGTGATAGCGATGGTTGGAAAGTGATGAGTTCTACGATGATTAATGGCTTATTTGACGATTTTTTTATGGAAGATTAATGGATGATTGATGAATTATTAATGGAATATCAATGGATTAGTAATGGATTATCAATGGATTAGTAATGGATTATCAATGGATCAGTAATGGATTAAAAAATGGATTAGATTAGCGATTTTTAGAAAATGGTGATTTCTTGGAAATCGCGAGTTGGAGTTTTCCATATGTTTAAGTGATAGTCATGGAGACTATAGATAATGATACTCATGGAAAATAGAACCCATTCAATGGTGATTCTGATGATTATTCGATTATCAATTGATTATTAATGGGATCTAATGGGGCAATAATTGTCAATCATGAAGAATCATTGAGAAAAATGGATAAATTTATAGAAACAATAATGGATTCTACATATATAATTATATATATAATGGAATAATATGAGGACACAATGGGATAACGGGATCTATACCATTCAAGTCGTCAAACATGGCTGGGCCGCTGGTAAACTCACCGAACTTTCAATGGTGGACTTTTCGGCACTTAGGAGATGTTTGATGACACAAATGAGGGTATCCGATACAAATGGGGGTTATATATATATTATAATTATAATAATAATAATATCAATAATTATTAACCACATTAATATATATATATGTGATAATAATAATGTATGTTTCCTATGAAAAAATCCTTGAAGCTTATGAATGATTCATGACCAGGGACCAGGAAGATGATCTTCCTGAAAAATCTTCCAGGGCCAATGGTGTCTTCGGCCCATTCCAAGATGTTTATCCCAAGCTGTATCTTGAATAAGGGGGAAACTAGTTAGAAACTTGAAGATAACATGTTAACATGTGGGAAAAACTCGTTTCTACTCCATCTTCAAGTTAACATGTGGAAAAAAAATCAAAAAATGGTTTCATCGAACCATTATACCATTCCCATCCGTGTTTTTTTCTTGGGGGTGGTCCCATTGTCATTTGGGGAAAAATACACCTGTTTTTTCCGGTCCCATGCATTGGGTGGAAAGATGAACATCCCAAGATGGCCGTCCGAGGTCTCAGATGAACATCTGCAACCAGCAGATGGGGCCTGGGATTAGTTACGTGGCTCGTAGCCGGTGGGAAAAAAACTGGCTAAATCATGGATTATCACCCAATTACATCCAATTACTAACTGGTTAACCCATCCCATGGCCCATCTAAGTATAAGCTTTCAGATGTTTTTTCGAGTTCATTGTTTTTCAAAACAGCATCTATACCATGTGGTGTGTTCGCCCAAGGCACGGCATAGTTCTCGGAGACCGCGCAAATGCCGTAGCCCGCCTGCACCCAGTGTGTTTATGCGAAATTCACCTAAACTACAAGTAAGATATAGACATAGAAGGTAATAAAAGCCCCAAGAAGAAAGACAAGCAAAATCCTGAAAAATTGTGTTTTTATTTTTTGGGGGGGATCCCTACAGTATAAGTAATGAGTTCCCCACTATGGGTCGTTTTCTTGCGTAAATGGCCACTAGATGCAGTTTTGCACACCGAATCATATGACCCGAACCCATTGGAATCGCCTGCGTCTGCTTGATGTAGGTGACGCCTGCCTTCAGCATGTTGAAGCGACCCTCAAACATGCAATACTTTCTGATGGTCGCCACCTGCGCGCGACAAGCCAGAAATATCCTCCGGTATCATCAAACGTGGCTACAATGTGGGGCCCCATAGTTAGCTAAGTTGGTGAACATAACTCCAATAACTATGGTCTATGGTACTTATAACTATAGTTAATGGGGTTTATAAACCAACTTATGGGCATTTAGAAGGGAAACTCATCTATCATTGGGTGGATTTTCCGCTGCCATGTTTGATTATCAGATCTCAAATGGCACAAGGAAAAAAACATTGTGTTGCTGCTGAACAATAATTGGTTCCTTGCAAAACCAAAAACAAAACATGTTTCTCTTCAAAGTAATTAAACATATATGAATATGATCAAACATAATTAAACATAATTGAACATAATTAAACATAATTAAACACAATTAAGATTAAACATAATTAAACTATATTAAACTGTTTTTTGTTGAAAATGTCCACATGTTTGTTACTACTCCCGTCTCACCTTGAGGTTCAGGATTAAGCTGAGACGTCTCAGCTGCGTCACCGTCTTCCTGGGACGGCATTGACTTCCAGAAATGGGAAAAAAATGGATAAAATTAGGTGATACTGTGGATGGAAGAAATCCTGCACCTGTTGGTAGATGGTTTATCCCATGATTATACCATTATTTACAGTGTTTGATAGTTACCTATAGGACCTATAGTTACCAACTGGTGCAGGATTTCTTCCATCCACAGTATGATCCTCATTCAGATGTATTATTTTTATCAATTGACAAATTTGTTTGGGTGAATTGATATCTATTGAGGATAACCATTTGTTGGCTTAAGATGTATTATATTAATCATTTTTTGGTGGTATACTAATGTTATATTACATTAACCCCCAATTGATGTAACCAACACAAACAATTTGGGTTCGTATGATATCACCCAACAATTTGGGATTCATATTACCAACAAACAATTGAGATCTCTCTTACCAACAGACCTTTGGGATTATGATTTAAGTTACAGTAAGAAAAAAATACTGCAGTGTATATCATTGGATTACACACACATATATATATATTCTAACATAACCAGTGAACAGATTGATATTTGAGGAAGTGATAAGCAAGTTGTTCGTTCATTTCACCAGGCCAAGTCTTGGATGAAGATCCCAACCAACAGATTGTGTGTGAAGAGGAGGGTTCTTAGTCCATATCAAATTAGTGGACGTAAATATATTCTATAATATGGGAATATAAATAAGGGGATAAAATTAAGCATATAAACTTAGATAATATCATAATATAGGAATATAAATAAGGGGATAATGATGAGGACAATATATATATATATACTGGAATGTGTTCATGGAATATATATATATATTGGAATTCTCATGACACATTACCCTCTGCTAATCAAACATCAGCTGGAAAATCCCTCAAACTAGACTTCCATGAGTTTCCCCTATAAGCCATGGTTCATGACCTTTGGGCAGTGGGAAACTCCACCAGCATCCACCAGCTATGGCAGCTATGGGCCAGTTGCATCGCAGTGTTGGTGAAATCTGAAGACTTTCTGTTGCAACGTCCATTTTTGTGGGTCAGATCTACCATTTTCCATCGAACTCCCGTGTCCATTTCTTGAATTCTGGGTTTTGTTGATCCAAGCCTCATTTCCATGGCTCAAATTCAAAGTGGTCTTTAAAAACCCAAGTTGTTCTAGGTTCGGTCCTCATTTCTCTTGTTTGAATTGCCAATGCTGTTGCTCAAACCCACATTGTTGTTGTTAAATCCCCATTTAAGTGACTTAGAAACCCCACATTTCTTGGATATAAACCCCTATAAACCCCTTGAATCCACATGTTAGGTGATGAAATTCCCACATTTATTGGTTCTACACCCTTTCTTTGTCCCTTAAATCCCAAATTTCATTCCCAGAGGATCATCAAAGACCAAGGATCCAGAAGCGATCGCTGATGAAGTCTGTCTCTACCACCTCGGCCAGCAAAACTTAGACGTTTGAACCTACCAAACCAATGTGTTTCACCGGCAAAAAATCGAGATTTATGGGGGCTGGCAACCAGCTGAAATGAGGATGTAAGTAGCTCAACTGCGGAGCTTCGGCAAGAAAGGTGTTTTTGGCACTTGCGCGAAAATTGATGGTATTGGACGTAAACATTTGGGAGGCTCTGCTGCAACACAAATATCTATTGAAATGGAAGGAGCTCAATCTTCATCATGTCTGGTACTGAGAAGTTCTTGATCATCAACCCCATGTATTTCCTCAAACATTCCCAAAACAAGAAACGGCTCAAAACCCCTCCCTGGCACCCCTCCCTGGCTCCAGCCACTCATGTGCCCAAGAGACTCCCATGTAGTCGGCATTGTGCAGGACCAAAATGATAGGAATTTGTTCACTCTCCTCCCAGAGCGGTTGAGGGTGATGCTACAAGCTTTTCTTCCAAACATGGGATCCATGAGTGACGTCACTCGCAAAAGGTGGATACAAACGCAGCACCAAAAAAAATGGGGGTGCGAGCAATGAAAAGGGAGGATAGAATCAACAATCTGAGAGATGTTCTCCCAAGAGAATGCCTCTTCAGTACTTTGACCAATGCACAGATGGCTTTCCGAGCTGGAAGATGAGGAAGTCCAATTCTATTCCCTTTGAAACCACTGAGAAGAGCAGTTCAGGCATCGTAAAACCACCTAAAACAATTTTTTGAAAGTGGAAACACCTAAAGAAAAACGGAAAGCGTTTCACAATCTCCACAAGTTCCGAAAATGTTCAAAGAATTTGTGGCTCGGTAATCCCATCCGGTTGATACTAAACACCTCATTCTAAGGTCCCAAATCTGTGTTCTTGTTCCCTACGTTTTACCATGGTTTTGGCGGGGTGTCCAATATGAACAGGGGATGGGATTGAGCATCATCCCAACTTTTGATAGTTCAGTTCGTTCAGTCCCTAGTAATGTGATACATCCCATGATATATTATCAAATCCTTTAAGACATAATATTACCATCAAATATCCTCATCAATATCCCGTTCAAGTATCATGTTTGATCCTATCACTATCATAGCCACAGAACCTTCGCGGAATGGATTTCTCCACCCAGCCCAGCCTCCAGATATAACGGAGCCAACGCGGCATGGTAATCCATACAATGGTAGATGTCGGGTTTCAACCTAGGCTGAAGCGGCTGCAGGAGGGATTCAGCTGATTTACCTAGGCTAACTATGGCTAACAATGGCTAACTATGGCTGATTTTGTAGAGGCTAACTATGGTATTATGTAATGACCTCCATTTTGCATAGAAACTTTCAACTAATGTTTGTTGAGCCAGTCATTGGAGACAATGATGACGAGCAACCCAGTGAATTTCGGGATAGCCTGGAACCACCCCAAGATCAACTGAACAAGCCATTGGATTTCATGGGTTTTCCCAGCCATTTTGCAAGGCACTTCCGAATCAACGCAGCCGTCGCCTGCGCTGGATTACTCCCATGAAACCAGAAAGCAGTGGTGGAATCCATGCCTATCATCCCAGGCATTAGTTCCTGGCTAAATTCAACTACAGGCGCATTATTTTTATTTGTGTATAATATGACAACGGTGAACAAAAGCCAGGCAACTAAAAAGTCCTGCAATGATTGGATGAGGCAAGTGAACTGGAGGATCTATGGGAATCACGCAATGTTTCAAAGTAAACCTCAGATCCTGTACAAAAATTGTGGATCTATCATTAGAATCTATTCATCATCTTATAATTATTGTAGATCTAACATTATAGAATCTATTTATTCATCATCTGATCTATGTATTTCTTACATGTTTCGTTCCATGTTTTTCAACCAGACCATGGGAAGGGGTCTGTTAGTCCAATGTCAACATGCCCGGGAGATTTCTGTATCAGCTCTCAGTGGGGCAACTGTCCCGATGTTGGGGATTTTGTTGTTGTTTTTACTTGAAAAAACAAACTTGTTGGAGATGATGAGTTATATGTTGGGGATGAATTCTATATTTCTATCATATTATATCCCCTTAATTTGTGAACATTGGAGATGACTTATACCATCTGGTTATTTAACATAGCCATGGAAAATCCACCCATTTGTAAAACGGTAAACCATCTATTTCTATGGGCCATGGCTTTCATGGCTATGTTAGTCATAACCAGAGGGTAACCTTTTCTTAGATCTCTATAAAAATCCAAAACAATCACTGGTTGGTGGTTTGAACCTACCCCTCTGAAAAATATGACTTCGTCAGTTGAGATGACTTCTATCCCCAATATCTATAGTTGGGTGATGTGCAAAAAAATCGTTCCGAGTACCAGTGATTTGATACCCCCAAAAAACCCTAGGACTTCGAGCCACATCTCACGAGCTCCCGCCCTTTGTGCCTGGTTCCACAAGGAGAAGTAACGCAAAGTCCTGCACGGGGATCATCATCCCGGGGCGTAACGAATTGAGAATGCTAATACTACTAATAGTAATGATAATAGTAATAATATAACATTGCATATATATATATTATATATAACGTTATATAACACTTAGTACTAATCAATTATGTGTGCCCAATTAAAACAAACATGTATTTTATGAACAATGAAGTATACTGTTAGTTCCCAATCATACTACTACTAGCAATAAAACTAGCAATATAACATATTTTAGATATAACATATTATGTGTACAGTAATAATGAAACCTAATGAATTTGTTACCACCAGGTGGGCGTTACCCCGTGAACTTTGGGGAGGTTTAGCCAGTTTAGCCATGAAGATGAGGTTTTATCCCCACTCAAACATGGATGGAAATTATCCTCTCGCAATCGAACATGGCTGGAAAACCTTTGGTGCTTGGTGGCTCATCCCGCTTACTAAGTAGGTTATATGTTTGATAAGTAGGCTTAATCCACTCATAATTGGGGTTATAACATGTTATAACCTACTTAGTAAGTGCGACCACACAGTGGGAACAATCGTGGACCGAAACGATCCTATTCCAGCCAGTTTGGGCTGGGTTTTTGCGTGCCTTGTGGCTACCGTTCACCGATATTAGGTGTGTCTGAAAATGGGCACACCCCAACAAAATGAACATGATAATGTCCTGGATGTAGGTGGAAGTATGCAACATGTTCAAACAAATCCATATTATGGCTTGTGTACAGAGGGTGATCACTGTTAAATCACTAATTTTCCCTATCATTTACCTACATATGTGCCACGGTCAGAAGTTGGCTCACCTATATTGGGTTTATGGCAGATATATCTATTGTAGTTAATGAAGTTGACAGACCAACTTACCAGCTTGTAAAATAGCTTGGAGTGTTCTTTACCAGAGCAGTGTTCAAGACTCTCTGTCATTCTATTATACCAAATTATACTGGATGGTGACGAACGGGATTCCCAGATTATGACCCCCAATTAATATGGAGGTGTCCTAAGTCATGGAGGTAATCATTGGGTTTCCTTAAATCATCCATTTCCTTGATAAACCATCCATGGGATTTCCTCATTAGGTTTCCTAAAAGTTTCCTCAAAATCATCCATTTTGATAGGATTTTCCATCATATTGGTATATCATATGGTTAGATTGGTATGATGGTATTATCTGATATGGAATGTATAATCATAAACATTTCCTTAAATCATCCATCCATGATGGAAACATCCATACTTTCCAACCAATGCTCCCCGATGGAGTCATCAGACCTGTCCTGACTTTGGTCATGGACGGCGGATACGGCGCCGTCTTCACCTTCTCCGTAAAGACTTCGTGTTCTGAGCCGCGGTGCTGGCGTTGGTCATGAGACTCCCATGGTTCATCTATAAAATGTCCCAAGAAATGAAATTTCTGTATTATTGAAGATGTTAATAAACTTATATATATATATCATACATGAGTATTATATAATATGTATAATATGATATAAATTTATATAAATTTATATGATACATGTTTCTTAAGATCACTTATGAGTATTATATAATCTGATGTAAAATTATATAAATTTATATGATACGTTTTTCTTAAGATCACTTTTGAGTATTATATAATATTATATAATATGATATAAACTTATATAAAGTTATATGATACATTTTTCTTAAGATCACTTTTGAGTATTATATAATATGATATAAAATTATATATATATATATAAATATATGATACATTTTTCTTAAGATCACTTTTGAATATTATATAATATTATACAATCCAAGATGAGCCTTATACGCCATCATGTCGGTTTTGATTTTCCATTTGTCTAAGATGGCCTTGGAAAGTAACTCTTTTGTCACAGTAACCTGGTCATAACTTCAGTCAGCTCCGCGAAGATCCTAGGGCCTTAGGGGGCCCCAACGGCTGCAGGATCTGTCAAAAAAAACACCATGGACCATGCGTTTCTGGCTGGGATCCCCACTTCCGGTGATATCATCGATCTCCACACTTTGACTGTTACAGGGACTAATAGCTTCTAGGCTTTTACGTTTACCTGTTTATCCCCTTCGTTGACAACCGTGATCTGAAAACTTATACCAACAGGATCGCAGAATCTCGTCACAGTCACTGGAGCCATTTTGGTCTACAAGTAGCCGAGCTGATCTTTGACTCTGCTGCTGTCACCACCATTCTGTGGATCGCCCCATGTCACCAAGTTTCCATCCGTCAAGATCGCAGCGAAAGCACAACGAGTTGCATGGAGCTGCTGAACGTCTCTCAGCTGGTCACAGACTGTTGTGGTGTCACCGCCATGGACGGGATGTCCCCATGGGACAACGCTTCCATCTGCCAAAGTTGCGGCAAAGGCAAAATGTGTGGAACACACCTGCTGAACGTTCCTCGGCTGATCCTGGGCTGCAATGTAACTACCCCCCAGCTCAGGATGGCCCCAGATCACCACGCTTCCACCCGCAAGGATTGCAGCAAAAGCACCCGCTGTGGAGTGAATCTCCTGAACATTTTTCAGCTGGTCTTGGACTCTGGCACTGTTACCCCCATACAAAGGTTGGCCCCATGTCACCACAGTTCCATCGGCCAAGATCGCAGCGAAAGCACGGTGGGTGGCACGAATCTTCTGAACGTTCCTGAGCTGATGCTGGACTGCAGTGCTGTCGCCACCCAAGAAAGGATCGCCCCATGTCACGACAGTTCCATCGGACAAAATTGCAGCAAAGGCAGCAGCTGTGCCACTAATCTGCTGAACATTTTTCAGCTGATCTTGGACTGCAGTGCGGCCCCACGTCACCACTGTTCCATGGGCCAAAATCGCAGCAAAAGCACCGTGGGTGGCATGAATCTTCTGAACGTTCCTGAGCTGATGCTGGACTGCAGTGCTGTCGCCACCCAAGAAAGGATCGCCCCATGTCACGACAGTTCCATCGGACAAAATTGCAGCAAAGGCAGCAGCTGTGCCACTAATCTGCTGAACATTTTTCAGCTGATCTTGGACTGCAGTGCTGTCGCCACCAAGCAATGGCTGGCCCCACGTCACCACTGTTCCATGGGCCAAAATCGCAGCAAAAGCACCGTGGGTGGCATGAATCTTCTGCACGTTCTTGAGCTGATCCTGGATCGCAGTGCTGTCACCGCCGCGCGCAGGATCGCCCCATGTAACAATCCTGTCACGCCCGATACACCACAAAGCAAACCCACCCTGCGTTGCAGCTACCTTTGGCTGCTGTGCGATGGCAGCAATGCAGTCTCCATCTCGAAGTCCGGCCGACTGCAGAGATTCCGCTGGGTCCAGGAGACGCCCATCCAGGGTTAAGGTCAAAAAGCCCTGGCGCAAAGCTCGTTGCGCGGCCAGTTTCAAGTCACCAACGGTAGCGCTGGGATCCACCAAGACATCTTCGGATCGACCGCTTGGCAAGGACACCTGAAGTTTCAGCCTGGCACCGTCCTCGTCGGCCTCCCCTTCTCTGGGCCGTTTGCTCGCAGGCTCCATGGCCGCCACGGCCGATGGGGCGTTAGTCTGAGGCGGTGTTTTTTTTTGCAGGGCGGGTTTGAATTACTCAAATTGGAGGTACCAACCTCATTAACAGTTTATTGATGTTTATTGTTTAATTATCCATTATAATCCCGTGAATCCACATGGTGAATATCCCTGAACAATACATGGCCCCAAAAAATGGCATTGGCCATTTCCATTGTTGGCACTTCGAGGGGCACTTCGAGGGGCTTGGTCGAACTCTGGAAGGTGCTTTGGGGTGAAATCAATGGTGCTTTGGGGTCATTGCCGGCCAACTTTGGTATTTTTCATTGCGGCAGAGGTGAGAAAAAATGGCAATCTGTATAGTTCTAAGCTTAGGTCGCTTCAGTCCCAAAAGTCACGAGTGGATTGAGATCCGGCCTTGCAGAAGCTACTGGTTGGCGGGGTTTTGAACCCTGCCAGCATGAAATGAACAGAAGAATAGAATACAAATAGAATACAATAAGGTGGTAAACCCAACAATAAACCATCCCCAATATTAGCATAGATAGATGGTACAAACCTTATCACATTAGAATACAATGGACAATATGTGTGAGGGACACTCGACCCACCTCATGCTGACCACACCGAGTGTCTCAGGATGTACCACACGCGCTTGATGCCATTCAGCTCGCTCTGCATGGTATAGACCTGGATCCTGAGAGCTTCAGCAGATGAGCCTCGTTTGCCCTACCTTTGATGATCAATGCACCATATCCTGTGGGTCAAACGGTCAAACCCCCCATTCTTTGTCATGGTGAAATCATGAAAAAAAGCATATCATATATCCATCATGGAGAGTCAACCAACCCGCCTATAAGGCGACTACCCCCAAAAAAGATGGTGACGATTCGCCCTTCCTAAAGCCTCACTCTTGAAACCATGGCGCAGTTGGGGGGGTCACCGAACTCTGAGGTCTGCGGTTGAATCACCAAATTTCGTATTTGTTGGTACCTCAAACCCCATGTTTTGTGCTTAGTTACACCAAGATGTGGTTTTGTTGGTACTTAAACATACTTAAACCACATGTTTCATGTTTCAATCACGTTAAATCCAAGATGTCGATTTGTTGGTACCTTAAACCCCAATTTTTTCATGTTTCATGTGATCTCCATCCATCTAAGGCCAGCCCGGATTTTCGCCAGGGCTCGTTTGCTCCTTGCCATCCACCACGCAGCGAATTTCGTCAAAGTCCTGCGAAGGGATCATCCCAAGCTGCCCCAGGTGGTGCCCCACTAAAGATGGGGAATTCAACCAGCAAAGTGATGGGGATTTAGAGTTGATTTATGTTGGCTAATGTGGTTCACAACTTTAGGTTTATGCTTCAGATATATTGGTGATTAATGGGGTTTAAGAACAAACTTACAACTGGGGCGCATCAAATTGCAACTGGCTAATGAGCGAAGTGTGGTCAGAATTAGCTTGTTATCCCATTTGTTGTCCAGTGTATAGATGAGTGAAATAAGAGTGGCTCAAAAAACTAAGCTGGTTAGGTTGACAAATATACCCATTTTGTAGCAAGAGAGGAGTTGGTACAAAACGATCCAGCCGGTTGAGGCAGTTCTCCCGCTCTTAAGTGGTAAGCATGATCCTCCAGCATGACACAAAGGGGTGGTGCTGGTCCAATGTCAAAACATAGGGAGTTGATCAGCGAAGATTGAGGGTTGACCCAACAAGTAGTGAAGTGAGTCAACAAGCCCAAAAAAACATGTGTGCGTAGAATTGTGCAAATCTGGATACTTTCTGATACATCCAAAACTGTCTTGTGGTCATAAGATTTCAGCTCAGTCCCTATGGTCAAGAACTTGGTCGAGCATGACGTTGCTGTAAATTTCTAGATTCAGATAGATTGCATCCAAAGGGGGCAATAGATTAAGTCAGTCCTCTTGAGCCATTCTGTGTGGAAATGATTTTGAGATAATCCACAATGGTTGGCAAGTGACTTGTAAGCCCCAGAACATACCCACTGTGAACCAATCGCTTCTGAAGCAGTCGCTTGTACCTGCAAACACTCGAATGACCTGTTGAAGTTGGGATATTCATCTATTATGCCTATGCCTCTGCCCTAATGCTTATGGCCATCAAAGAGTTTGTTGCTTGAAGCGTTTCCTAATGCTTCTGCCTTTCGCATCGTGCTTCCCATTCTTCCGTTTCGCTGGTGAAAGCCCCCTTCAGGGTGTGGCTGAAAGTCCGATGCTCACAGACGCCTATTCGTCGCAGTGCGAAGGTGTGATCCCCAGCTATACGTTTGCAAAGATCAAAATCAGCAAAGTCTACACACAGCCAAACCCATCACTGGCGTTTGTCTGAAAAAAAAGGGTGAAAAAGAAACAAATCCCATTGTTCATTGGTTAAGTCCCTGTTGACGATGAAATACCAATTTTTCATCATTAAATCCCTGTGTTTTGGCTGGTGAAACCCATGTTCAGACACATCCAAATCAGCCCAAAAGCCAAAACTATGTTTTTTTCAGTGGTTAAACATGGTTAAACCGTTTTAAACCCATTTTTCAGCGGTTAGACCCACAAAAGCCATCACTTCCAGGTGATGGCTAAACTCCACAGATCTCCTCCAGCTCGCCATAGTCCACATCGCCAAACATGGGATGCACCAAGCTCAAGGTGCACTGCAACGGGGCAGCGTTCGAAGAATTTTGGAACACGTGGACTGTTCAAAAACCTCTTCAGCCAATAATCCATAATAGCACACCCAATTGAGCCGTGAAAAATATCCCTATCCCATCCCATGAAATACTGATTGGTAAATTATCTGGTAAATTGGTACACCGTTAAGTACGGGTTAGTTCATGGCCGCCAATAAACCACTTCAGTGTACAGTAAACTCCCTAGATCAAACAGTCAGAGGTATGGGCCGATCAAAGTCAGAACAACTGCGGAAAACTTCGACTACTCAAATCCATTCAGCCCATAACAATCCAAAAGTGATAGTTAAACTATATTAAAATGGGAGTTTAATATAGTTTAATTGGAGTTTAATAATCCAAATCTCAAATCCCATTAAACTCCAATTAAATCCCATTAAACTATCATTTCTCAATTCTCACTCCCGTTCTTTCCCCGTGAAGGAACTTCAAATCGCCAGCGCCTGAGGATGTTCCCTGAGCATCTGATCCAAGACCTTTCCCAAGCCACCAGCACTCACCTGGCACATCCGCCACGCTGGCCACGGTGGTGTGAACTCTGGCCATGATTCGCTTGAGGAAGTTCCACCAGAGATAGACACGAGAAATAGAATTGATCCTATTTGATCCACAACTCAACCAGAAATTCTGAGATGTTTCTGAGATGTTTCTGAGATGTTTCTGAGATGTTCATAGAATATAGATCAATGGGAATTCCAGGATCCTAAAATGGAGGTACGTTAGTACCATATAAGGCCATATTTTGAAATTCCCATTGATATAGATGTTTCAGACAAGGGGATGGCAGTACCAGGTTTCTGGGTCTGTCGATTTGATCCACGATTCAACCATTCAAAACGTCTGCCCTGTCCTGTGACACTGGTCACCACTGATGTTCTTTTTGACCCAAACGTCAAACGATAAAGGCAAAACACAAACATGAATCTGCTCTCTTTGGATTGTTTACATGTGTGTTATCCAGTATTTCTTCACATCTGGTTTCAATGAATTGAACTAGTAAAGTCTCTTCTTCATTTGGTTTTCACTACATCAACCCAGTAAACTCAGAGTTTTCCCATCATTCTTACCCCAAAACCATCCCACTCCACCTGGACACAATGAAGTAAGTCGACCAATGGCCAAACCACGCCTTCACGCCACGCTCCGGGATGGTGTGTTCAATGGCCGCGCAGATCACGTGTTTCGGCTCCACCCTGGGACCTCCGGCAGGACTGGCAGCTGGGATACAGGGCTATAGACCCTTAAACATACATGGGACTAGTGGATAGTAATGGGTTGTGGTCATGGATGGTCATGGTGAGATAATCTTGGTGACATGTAGACAATGTATACTGGTGGGTTAGTATGAGACCCTATAAATCATCAGCCAATACGGGTTTGGAACACTGTTCAATTGAACAAATATGGAGGTGATATATGGTCAAAAAATCTTGACTTCGAACCTGAAGTTGTCGGAAGTTCTCAAGGCGGAACTGGGTGTGGATTCTCGTCCTGGAGTTTTTCCATTCTGTCCAGCAATTTCCTTTGCAGGGATCGGATGAGTGAACAGCCGGTGCCTGAGATCTGCATGATGTTGGGAAAGGTCGCTTCCTGGCACCAAATCAGCAACCCCGGAGGCTGAAAACTGACCTTCCCTACTCCCACTCTCAACCTATGGGTTCACATCCCCCTAATCGCACTTCTTCCATCCCCACACCACCAGCACCAGGGTGTCCGTCCAATCCCAGGTCCTTCACGATGGACAGGTAGATGCGCGTGCGATAGTTCCACGCCAAGATGCCCACTCCACGGACCTCAGGCATGAAGGGCTTGGCTGAACCGAGCACATTGGGGGGGAGTTCCTACATGGTCGAATCATGCCTGACTAGGAACGAAGACATGTGGCTTCTGGCTACATCAATCATCATTGGTCATGCCTGACCAATCGCAAAAAAACAAGTGGCATCTGCTCTTTTTCCACCACTCAAAAAGCGCCTCTGGAAAACTTCTTCGGTGAGGGACATGGCAGTGGTTAGCTTGTCAGTCTTATCCTGTTCTGCAAGAATCTTCAGCCGGGTTGTGAGCCGATGGTAGCTGTAACCCAAGAGTTGTGGCCATTTGGCTATCAACTCAAGAACCCTTTTTGATCCAAGACACTGCTCCAACGCAAGCATCTTTGGACTCAGGTTCCTTGGAATGTTCAATCCAAGAATTTGAGGATAAGTAGTCACTGCCTTTGCTATTTGACTCTTTTTCAGCCCCAAGTCGAAGAACCATTGTGCGGTAGGACTCAAGTTCTTCTCGATACTATACCATAGGATTGGAGAAAACGTGGCCACTGTCTTCACAACGTGATCCTTCCTTAGCCCAAGGTCCAAAAGCCACTGCGCTGTGGGCTTCAAGTTCTTCTCTACACTGAGGCCAAGAATTTGAGGATGAGTGGCCACTGCTTTCACAACTTGACTCTTCGCAAGACCTAATTCCAGGAACCACTCAACAGTGGGCTTCAAGTTCTGCTCTACACTGAGGCCAAGAATTGCAGGAGAAGTGGCCACTGCCTTTGCAACTTGACTCTTCACAAGACCGAACTCCAGGAACCACTCAACAGTGGGCTTCAAGTTCTGCTCCACACTGAGGCTGAGAATTCGAGGATGCGTGGCCACTGCTTTCACAACTTGACTCTTCGTAAGACCTAATTCCAGGAACCACTCAACAGTGGGCTTCAAGTTCTGCTCTACGCTGAGGCTGAGAATTCGAGGATAAGTGGCCACTCCTCTCACAACTTGACTCTTCGCAAGACCGAACTCCAGGAACCACTCAACAGTGGGCTTCAAGTTCTGCTCTACACTGAGGCCAAGAATTCCAGGATGAGTGGCCACTGCTTTCACAACTTGACTCTTCGAAGGACCGAGCTCCAGGAACCAGTCAACAGTGGGCTTCAAGTTCTGCTCTACGCTGAGGCTGAGAATTTGAGGATAAGTGGCCACTACTTTCACAACTTGACTCTTCGTAAGACCTAATTCCAGGAACCACTCAACAGTGGGCTTCAAGTTCTGCTCTACACTGAGGCCAAGAATTGCAGGAGAAGTGGCCACTGCTTTTGCAACTTGACTCTTCGCAAGACCTAACTCCAGGAACCACTCAACAGTGGGCTTCAAGTTCTGCTCTACGCTGAGGCCAAGAATTGCAGGAGAAGTGGCCACTGCCTTTGCAACTTGACTCTTCACAAGACCGAACTCCAGGAACCACTCAACAGTGGGCTTCAAGTTCTGCTCTACGCTGAGGCTGAGAATTCGAGGATGCGTGGCCACTGCTTTCACAACTTGACTCTTCGTAAGACCTATTTCCAGGAACCACTCAACAGTGCGCTTCAAGTTCTGCTCTACGCTGAGGTTGAGAATTTGAGGATAAGTGGCCACTCCTCTCACAACTTGACTCTTCCCAAGACCGAACTGCAGGAACCACTCAACAGTGGGCTTCAAGTTCTGCTCTACACTGAGGCTGAGAATTCGAGGATGCGTGGCCATTGCTTTCACAACTTGACTCTTCGTAAGACCTAATTCCAGGAACCACTCAACAGTGGGCTTCAAGTTCTGCTCTACGCTGAGGCTTAGAATTCCAGGATGAGTGGCCACTACTTTCACAACTTGACTCTTCGGAAGACCGAACCCCAGGAACCAGTCAACAGTGGGTTTTAAGTTCTGCTCTACACTGAGGCCAAGAATTCCAGGATGAGTGGCCACTGCTTTCACAACTTGACTCTTCGTAAGACCTAATTCCAGGAACCACTCAACAGTGGGCTTCAAGTTCTGCTCTACGCTGAGGCTGAGAATTCGAGGAGAATTGGCCACTACTCTCACAACTTGACTCTTTGCAAGACCTAATTTCAGGAACCACTCAACAGTGGGCTTCAAGTTCTGCTCTACTCTGAGGCCAAGAATTGCAGGATACGTGGCCACTGCCTTTGCAACTTGTCCACTAGTCAGTCCCAAAGTTGAGAGCCACCACAGTTTTGGTTGGAGCTTTTTCTGAATAGACATCCCAGGTGCAAGGCACTTCTCTAACATCAAATCCATATCCTTTTTGCCAAAGCCCTCTGTCTCCAAAAATGACGATATTTCAGTGATTGTGTTTCCATTCTCTGCAGATACAGCTGCATTGAGAAAGTCTAGCGAAAAAGTTGATGGCACTTTAACTCCCCCATCTGCATGCCGCTTCAAGCGTTGCACCACTTCAGGACGAAGGCTGTGTTTTAATCCCATCACTGTCTGCTTGAGAATGTCACACCAAATCTTTGGCACCAGCCTGTTATCACCTGAACGCCACTTTTTCACTTTGATCCAAAGGACGTTGCGTTGCAACGGCATGCCGATGGTGTGGCTGATGCGAACCACGTACGATCCTTTCGGCGCAAACAGTAACAGGGCTTCATTCTTCTTCTGATCCATTTTCAGACCTTCCCTTTCCCCATGCCTCCAATATCCATCATACTCCACAAACAGCCCAGCATTCTCATCCTTCAACACGCCAAAAGCCGCCAAATCCGGTTCCAAGTAGTTTCCACCCCACCCCTTGGGACAAGGGAAACTCCGAAATGCTTCAGCAATTTCCAGGTGAGGCATCAACACTTCCGCCAATGGTGCCAGCAACTGCACCTCAGCCATGCTTCCAACGCGTTGGCGCGGCCATCCACGCTGCCACCAAGATGGTGCCGAACCACAAAAGGTCCTAGCTGAACGACCGGAGAATGGCCATGGCCGAAACAGGCGTAGGGCTCGCATTAGGAGGGCTTGCGGTTGAGCCTTTTCTCGGAGAAGTTTGGTCATGATGATTCTCTACAATCTGAAGAACCAATCTGAATAGAGCTCTCGTTCCGCAAGGAACTTGTGTTCAAATGTTTCTTGCCTCCTAGCGAGGGTTCATTAAAACAGGGCGATTGAAATATACTGCTACATTCATCTGGTTTTGCAAGATAAGGTTGTTTGGATACACAACAGGTTCAACAGAAAATCAACTGTATGAAAATGGCCCAACTCCACGTCACATAACTTTGCTTCTCAGCTCATCTGAGATCATAGAATGTAACTTCAATCTTTGGTTCAGCTGATGACTACGGGTGCCTCACTACCCTCTCTCTGGAACCAAGAAAGCTTTCTGTCAATCAATTGGTTTTAAATTGTATACCTGATTCTGCTGGCCGACCCAAAGTGTGACTGTCCATCTGCCAATTATTACTGTTCCAAGGCTAGAACGGCTAGAAAGAATGTTGCACATCATAGAGTGCAACCAGCTGATAGAAATCACAAAAAGTCTCAGGGATGGAAGACTATGACAGTTCAACACAACAGGAATCGCACAAATATATTATATATGTTTCACAAGTTTAGTGGCAAAAAACAAATCAACCTATTCGCAAAACCCTTCGGTTGAAATGCTATTGCCTGAACTGATGAAAACACCAAGAAGCAAAGACATGGGGCAACATTGCTTCAACCATGTTCTCAAGCTGCATCGATATCTTGAACAGGATATTCTTGAAACATCTTGAAACTAAGAAGTTCCGAATCACAGAAAGCCGCTCTTGCAAATTAATAGGTTTTACACCACGAATTCTTCGCGTTATAAATTTGAAAGCATGGGGCTCTCTGCACGGCTCTTCAACAAACCTTCCACAGAAAACCTCGCCCTGCAAACTCAATGCTGCCCTCCCGCTCCGTGATATATCCTCAATCATGCCTGAAAGCAGCAACAAAATGTCGAAAAAGCTCGTACTCTCTTTTGCACCGCTCAGAAAGCGCCTCTGGAAAGCTTCTTCCGTGAGGGACATAGCACTGGTTATCTTGTCAGTCTTGTCCTGTTCTGCAAGTATCTTCAGCCTAGTTGTGAGCCGACGGTGGCTGTAGCCCAGAAGTTGAGGCCATTTGCCTATCAGTTCTGCTGATCTGTTCTTTGTGAAGAAGTCGTTGAGAACGAATGTCTTTGGACTCAAGTTTTTGGCAATGCTGTAGCCTAAAATTTGAGGACAAGTGGCCACTGCCTTGGCAACTTGACTCTTTGTCAAGCCCAAGTCTAACAACCATCGCACAGTAGGTTTCAACTTATTCTCGAATCTGTAGCCTGAAATTTGAGGACGAGTGGCCACTGCCTTGGCAACTTGACTCTTTGTCAAGCCCAAATCTAACAACCATCGCACAGTGGGTTTCAAGTTCTGCTCGATGCTATAGCCAAGAAAAATAGGAAAGGCGGCCACTGCCTTGGCAACTTGACTCTTTGTCAGTCCCAAGTCCAAAAACCACTGCACAGTGGGGTTCAAGTTCTGCTCGATGCTCAGGCTAAGAGATTGAGGACAGGTGGCCACTGCCTTGGCAACTTGACTCTTTGTCAAGCCCAAGTCTAACAACCATCGCACAGTGGGTCTCAAGTTATTCTCGATGCTGTAGCCTAAAATTTGAAGGCGAGTGGCCACTGCCTTCGCAACCTGACTCTTTGTCAGCGCCACGTCTGACAACCATTGCACTGTGGGCTTCAAGTTCTGATCGATGCTAAGGCCAAGAAATTGAGGAGAAGTGGCCACTGCCTTCGCAACTTGACTCTTTGTCAAGCCCAAGTCTAACAACCATCGCACAGTGGGTCTCAAGTTCTGCTCGACGCTGTAGCCTAAAATTTGAGGGCGAGTGGCCACTGCCTTGGCAACTTGACTCTTCGTCAGTCCCAGGTCCAACAACCACTGCACAGTGGGGTTCAAGTTCTGCTCGATGTTGTAGCCAAGAATTTGAGGATGAGTGGCCACTGCTTTCGCAACTTGACTCTTTGT